TTTTGGGATGGTTTTGAAGCTAAATGAGCTACGGTATTTATAGTTGAAACTTAAGGACTTAATCTTGTAAATACCCTAAAATCTAGGGATTAATTGTGATTATCCCGTTATCATTTTTCAACAAACATCTACCAAACTTTAAAAAACTATTTTTCAAAGAAACATTTACAAAACTTTGAAAACCATTTTCAAAGAAACATTTACCAAACTTTGAAAACCATTTTTTCAAAGTTGGTTACCAAACTTGAAAACCATTTTAATACTTTCAACAATCTCTCACTTGAAGACTGATTTTAATCTGTCTTCACACCTCGATCAATGCAACAGCTTTTCTAGTCTTGTTACTCTAGCATGCCAACTGAAGTTGAACACAACTTCAGTTTGTCTGTAGTCACCGTCTTTGTCAACATATCTGCCGGATTTTGAGCTCCACTGATCTTTTCAAGTTTCAAAATCTCATCTTCTAGAGAAGACCGGATAAAATGATATCGCAATTGTATGTGCTTTGTCTTGGAATAAAAAGACGGATTCTTTGCTAGATGTATAGCACTTTGACTGCCGCAATACAAGACATTGTTTTCTTGTTTCTTGCCTAACTCTTCCAAGAAACTTTGGAGCCAAACCATCTCCTTGCTAGCTTCCGTAACAGCGACATATTCTGCTTCAGTTGTGGAGAGAGCAACTATCTTCAGTAGTTGAGAAACCCAACTCACTGCGGTTCCTCCTAGAGTATAGACATACCATGTAGTGCTCCTTCTGATGTCAACATTTCCGGCTAAGTCAGCATCTACATAGTCTGTCAGTATCGTATCTCCACCTTTGAAACAAAGTGTTTTGTTTGTGGTACCCCGCAGATATCTGAGGATCCATTTGACTACTTCCCAGTGTACCTTGTCCGGATTATTCATGTGCCTGCTAATAGCTCCCACTGCTTGAGCAATATCTGGTCTGGTACAAACCATGGCATACATCAGACTTCCAATTGCTGAGGCATACGGCACCTTCACCATATGTGAACGTTCTTCCTCCGTCTTTGGTGACTGTTCTTTGGAGAGTCTGAAATGAACACCTAAAGGTGTACTTACTGGTTTAGCATCTTGCATGTTGAACCTGGAAAGTACTTTGTTGATGTACTCAGCCTGTGATAATATCAAAGTCCCCGAATTTGTGTCTCTCTTGATCCTCATCCCAAGAATCTGCTTTGCAGCGCCCAGATCCTTCATAGCAAACTGATTTGACAATTTTTGCTTCAAGTTTATAATCTCTTGCATGTCTGAGCCTGCAACGAGCATGTCATCAACGTACAACAATAAAATAATGAAGCTATTATCGAACCTCTTGATGAAGCAACAATGATCTGCTTGGCATCTGGTAAAACCACTCCTACTCATGAAACTATCGAACTTCTTGTACCACTGTCTAGGAGCTTGTTTTAAACCATACAAGCTCTTCTTCAACCTGCATACCAGGTTTTTCTTGCCTACATCTATGAAGCCTTCTGGCTGCCTCATATAGATTTCTTCCTCCAAATCACCATGAAGGAAAGCTGTCTTTACATCTAACTGCTCAAGATGTAAATTCTCTGCAGCTACAATTTTCAACACCAGTCTGATTGTAGATAGCTTCACGACTGGAGAGAAAATTTCACTGTAATCAATACCTTCTTTTTGTTGAAAACCTTTGACAACCAATCTTGCTTTATAGCGTTTGCTCCCATCGTGCTCTTCTTTGATCCTGTAAATCCACTTGTTATGGAGCGCTTTCTTGCCTGGTGGTAATTCAGCTAATTCCCATGTCTGATTTGACATAAGCGAGTCCATCTCATCTTTCATGGAAGACTCCCACTTGACTGAATCCTCCACTTGCATTGCTTCATCATAGCACTCTGGTTCACCATTGTCAGTCAGCAACAAGTAGTGCAAAGAAGGAGAATACTGTTGGGTTGGTTTAGGAATTCTGGAGGAGCGTCTTAGTTCCGGTGTGCCTGGTTCTTCTTGAACTGCTTCAGGACTGATCTGAACATCATTTCCAGAAATCTCCTCAAACTCAGCAAATTCCTTTGTTTCAGCTTTGGTATTGGAGCTGCTTGATTCTACAGTAGACCTGTTTTTGTACATCACATTCTCATTGAAAATGACATCTCTGCTTCTAATGATCTTCCGATTTTCATAGTCACAAAACCGGTAACCGAACTCATCACCGCCGTAACCAACAAAGGCATATTTGTTGGACTTAGCATCAAGTTTACTTCTTTCAGCAGAGTCTATGTGTACATAAGAAATACAACCAAACACTCTTAAGTGTGAAAGGTTTATTTCTTTCTTGCTCCAAACTTTCTCTGGTATTCTGCCATCCAAAGGAACTGAGGGCCCACGGTTGATCAGGTAAGCTGCAATGTTAATAGCTTCAGCCCATAGAAATTTGGGCAATCCGGCATGTATCCTCATGCTTATGGCACGTTCATCCAGGGTTATGTTCATGCGCTCTGCTACGCCATTCTGCTGCGGTGTCATGGGAACTGTTGTCTCCATCTTGATCCCATTGTTTGCGCAAAAATCTCTGAATCTCCTATTTCTGTACTCTCCTCCATTGTCAGACCTCAACCGCTTGACTTTCATACCATTCTCATTTTCCACCATGGCCTTCCATTTTCTGAAGGTATCAAAGACTTCTGATTTTTTCTTCAGAAAATAAACTCACACCTTCCTTGTAGAATCATCGATTAAGGTGACATAATATAATGAGCCTGCAAGAGATGGAACTGGGGATGGTCCTCATACATCAGTATGAACCAATTTTAACCTTTCTGCCTTGGGTGTCTTGCCAATCTTTGCAAAACTGACTTTCTTTTGTTTTCCAAATATGCAATCCTCGCATAGTCCGACATCTACATTCTTTAGATCCGGCAGCTTCCCTTTTGACAGAAGTATCTTCATTCCTTTCTCGCTCATATGGCCAAGCCTTTGGTGCCATAGGTTTGATTTTCCATCAACATCTGCTACTGCAATGATATTCTCTAAATTTGAGGTTACATAGAGAGTACCAGTCTTCTTACCATGAGCAATGACGAGTGCTCCTTTGGTAATCTTCCATTCACAGCCTGAAAAGGTTGTACTGTATCCTTCTCCATCAAGTTGTCCTACAGAAATCAAATTTATTTTGAGACCAGGAATATGTCTCACTCCTGTCAGCTTCCAGGTGGTCTGGTTTGGCAGTTTTAGTCGGATGTCTCCTTTTCCGACGATCTTCAAGGTTTGATCATCAGCAAGATGAACCTTCCCAAAATCACCACTGACATAGTTCTCCATGATTTCTTGGCATGGCGTGGAGTGGAAAGATGCCCCTGAATCCAAAATCCATGATTCAATCGGACTGTTGACGCTTAAAATCATAGCATCACCTGCCTCCTCCGTTATGTTGGCAGATTCCTGTGCGCCGGTATTTTTCTTCGGTGCTCGGCAATCTCTTTTGAAGTGGCCCTTCTTGCCGCAATTATAACAGGTAAAATCTTTATTTCATGTTCTTGATTTTCCCCTTCTGGATTTCGATCTGCCACGATTTGAATTTCTTTCTGAAATTCTCCCTCTGGACTCCGTGTGCAAGGCTGAGGAGGTTGATACTTCACCCGATTCTCTCCGTCGAATTTCTTCGCTCAGTACCAGATCCCGAACATCGTTGAATTTTAATTTGCTGTTTCCCGACGAATTGCTGACTGCTGTAACAATAGCATTCCAACTGTCTGGTAAAGATGATAAGAGAATTAAAGCTTAAACTTCATCATCAAATTCAATTTCCACTGAACTCAACTGGGTTGTGATTGTGTTGAGTTCATTTAGGTGTTGTGCCACCGATGCCCCTTCTGTCATCCGCAAATTGAATAATCGCCTCATCAAATGAACTTTGTTTGAGGCCGATGGCTTCTCATACATACTGGAGAGAGTCGTCATAAGACCCGCCGTGGTCTTTTCCTTTGCTATGTTGAAAGCAACATTGCGGGATAACGTCAGTCGGATAACTCCGAGGGTTTGTCTGTCGAGAAGAGCCCAGTCTTCATTCTTCATGCCCTCTGGTTGTTTTCCTGAGAGGGGTTTATATAGATTTTTCTGGTATAGAAAATCTTTAATTTGCATCTTCCAAAATCCAAAGTCCGCACCATCGAACTTTTCAATTTTCATCTTCCCTTCGTCTGCAGCCATCGCTCCCACTCGAATCTGGCTTCGTTTGGATCGTTTCTGACAATTTTTGCAAACCGCCGTGTATTAGAACACCTCCGTCGACAAACTCGTATCGCCGACCGAATTTCACTATTTACGAAATTCACTATTCATGTAAATAGTAACCCAAATAGTAACCTCGCAAAAAATTGACAAAATTCAACCCAAAATCTCTGATACCAGTTGTTGAGAAATAAACCAAGTACAAGTAATTTCTCTATAACCAGATTAGTGAGAATGCAAAATAAAAGCGGAAAAATAATACCGGAAATTGATAACGGAGTTCAACCAATTGTGCTTACATCTCCGGACTGCTGCAGATCTTTTACTAAGAGAGAAAATTTACAGGTGTTTACAAAACACTCACTACTCACAAGAAAGCTCTCTAGTATTGGGAGAAAGAAATGATTTTTGGGATGGTTTTGAAGCTAAATGAGCTAGGGTATTTATAGTTGAAACTTAAGGACTTAATCTTGTAAATACCCTAAAACTTAGGGATTAATTGTGATTATCCCATTATCATTTTTCAACAAGCATCTACCAAACTTTGAAAAACTATTTTTCAAAAAAACATTTACCAAACTTTGAAAACCATTTTCAAAGAAACATTTACCAAACTTTGAAAATCATTTTTTCAAAGTTGGTTACCAAACTTGAAAACCATTTTAATACTTTCAACATCTACTTGATTGATCTTGAACTTATAGCCTTTGTTTTATCATAAATACAAGAACATATGTTTGCATAATATTAATGTATGACACTGTCTCATACATGCCTCAATTGACAAACTAATCAAGATCTTATATATATTTCCAGAAAAGGCCAGCAACCTTCATTTCTCTCTGCTTACATGGTCACTGGAACGAAAACTCCGAAATCGGATGTTCCTCACATGTATGGAGTGTTGAAGATTCGAAAAAACCGGATCGGAAACAACTCGGTAAAGGTCGAAAACTATGGCTGGTGATCACGGTGACCTAGCTAGGCATGAAGTTCTACTCTGATGTAGCTTCCGCGGTGGGAACTTTCAAGGCAGCTTCGATATCTTTGCTGTCAACACTTACAAATTTCAGGAAAGTTTCAATGTCTTTATTATTATCTAAGCTTCCATGTCTGCGGTTGAACCATTTCTTAATAGGTTTCGGTTTTCTGTCGCTAATGGCAATGGCTATGTCATTAGGGAAGAGGTCTCGTAGGACGAATGCGTGCAGTATAGTCGTTACGAGCAGTGCCGTTACTGTGAGTGTGGCAGCAATGGAGAGCATGACGGAAAGAGTTTGAGTTACGATATTTGTCACTGCACTTGAATATCTTATCGTCGCTATTGCCGCACCGGTCATCGGGAACGTATACGCCCACCAGGACAATGAAAACCTGTAAAAGGAAGTGGATTTTAGAACTCGGAGACTACCTAATAGAGCTGAACTATCAGTATATAGGGATGTAAACATACTTGAATCCTCGGAAAAAGTTAACCCGAACCGCCTGCAGCGAGTACAAGTTATAAGTCAAGTTAGATTAACAAGAAATGCCATGGAACTGTCATCATGTTGTTGCATAGTATTTAATATGAAAAGAGGTTGAACATACCAATGAGAAGTAAAGGAACAGGGCAATGAAGTATGCAATCCGAGATCCGTAATCGAACGAGCCTTGGATCGAGGCCCATGCCATTGAAGCAACACTAGGTGCTGCAACGAACAGAAAGAATACAGGATGGAGCTCTTTTGGGAGTGTTTCGTTTGTTGGAAGTCTCTGATAAAGAGTTACAAAAAGGACAGTGTAATGAGCCAGACCAACAGCAAAGAAGAAAATAGGCCCTTCTTTAAGCCCCATTGATGCGCCCAATAGTGCCCCTACGAAGTTCCCGACAATGGAGAGATGGTTGGAAGGATTAGCCACTTTCGAGAGCCTCCGTTGACCGCCCGACATCCACTGTCCATAGATCTTAAGCTCCAAACAGAAGATTGGTGTCATGAGAATGTACCATAGAGCTGCAGGTAATTTTGAAGTAACCGAAGGCGGCACTCCGAGAGCTAAAAACAGAAGAGCGATCCAAGGGGCGAAAAAGAAGTTGACACGGATCGGATGGAAATACTCTCGACGAACCGCTTCGAAGTAGATGATCACTTTGAGAAGGTAAATGGAAGCAACGATGGCTACTAGAGCGACCGATATGCACCATAGAACAAGATTTATAGCCAGGTTTATGTGAAGAAACTTTGTAGATGAAGCAATGGCCAGTGTTTTCCACATGATAGCTTGGCTGCTAACTCCCAGACAGATACCGAACGAAGAAATGGGATACCGAAGGAGAAATGGCCATGTTTTGTCATGTGGAAGTACAATCTCCTCGGAAGCCTGTTAAAAACAAACCATGTCATATTGTTCAAACTCCCAATTGAGTAGCATAAATTGACCCTATTACATTAGAAATGATCATCATACCTTGAGGGACTCCAGTTCAGGTCCTTCCAATGCATCGAAGTATCGGTCCACAGGCAAAGGCAAAGGCAAAGGCTCGGTATTCCCAAAATTTGGCGAGGAGTCGTCCTCTGACTCAATTTCGCATGGCCTTCCACGTAAATTCGATAGCTGCCTTTCGAGCCTCCCGGACCATGTTTTGAAAGAATCATATCTCTTGTCCTTGAGCTTTTTATTGCTAGGATGCTGATTAGTGTCTTTGATGGTAGCTGCCTCTCCCAAGATTGATCCCTTTGGCATCGGCTGAGACAGAAATTTGACTGTTTTTGCCTCTTTGTACTCACCAATACTCTCTGATGCCTTACAAGAATCCGGAACTCCAATCTCGAAAACCTTTGCTTCGCCACGGCCGCCGGCTGCTGTCGGAGAAGAGGGCATACTGATCGAAACAGAAACCGCCCTCTCATGACCACCGGTGGCTTGACAAACATTTATTGGGCCTGGGAATTTGTTTTCCACCTATAAACGCACAAAAAATATCTTCATTAAATTTCATTACCCAAATTCTCCTGCATGAACAAACCAAATTCGAACATAAATTCTTAAACTAAAGATGTAACTTACAGGGATGTTATCAAAGCCAGCCACTTGGTTTGATGAAATAAGTTGAAGAAGAGATGGAACAGCCTCAGGTTCAGGCTTATGATCCATTCTGGACTGAAAATAGCTCTGTCAGGGCCTTACTTATTTTCTTATTCCTCCCCATTAATCTCATAGTTGACTTAAATTCCTTTACACGAACGTAATCGTCTATGATATTAATATATTCAGTTTCTTAAACCTTACGAGTTATATCAGAAAAGCAAGCGTGTTCAACTCCATCAAGTTAGCATCACGAAACAAACAGATAAACCAAAATTCTAACCTCGAATAATGCCGATGCCGGTGCCGGAAACTCTTAAACAAAATGGGAAAAGGCAGCGAGAGAAAATAAGTTGCGTAGAACAGGGTGAGTTGCAGATGAACTCAGAAGAGTAGAATATATGTAGGAGAAATGAAATTCAATGCGGTCCAATAAGACACACTGAGAAGACCAACCAGCATACGTTTCCCATATATAAGCAGGGAGGAATATATAGAAAAAATAACTTCAGTGACAAAAAATGTCTTATAATATATGATTTTAATTAATTTTTTTAAATTTATCAAAATAACCAACTAAATTGTAATGCGATCGATAATTCGCAACGCGATCTCTGGTATCGTAAATCAGTTTCTAGATTCGTAACGCGAACTTCGACTATCGCATTGCGATTTACATATTCGCATTGCGATAGTCCAAGTTCGCGTTGCGATTTATTTCAAATTCGTTACGATAGTCGAAGTTCATATTACGATTTATTCTAAATTCGTTACGATTTATTCCAAATTCGTTAGGTTTGATTTTTATGATTATATTAACAATATTTTCAGTGTAAAACAGCTCATCTTTGCTGTAAGGAGAACTGGGGTTGAAAATTGTACAACTAAATCCGATGATGTTGTTTGTACTTGAAATGATAATTAATAATAAATAAAAATAAATAAAGCCGCAATATTTGAGAGGGACTCGATATTATTTTTGTTTAACCACAAGTTTATCCATCAAAATATATTATGAATCCATTTTATTTTATATTTTTTTGTAAACTAAAATATCTTTTAAAAAATTCAGGAATTACGTTAAACGTTCATCAAAACCTAGTTGATTCAGATGATAAGCAATTTAATATCGTTTAATAAGATCTTAAATTCGAATTCCTAAGTACGTAAAAAGTTTTTACTGAAAGACTCAATAACCAAAATTAAGTATGTGACATAAATTGATTCAAATTAATCAAAGTAAAATTCTGGGACAAGGAAGTAGGGGTGTTCAAATGGTTATTCGGTTACTCAACCAAAAAAAAAAATAGCCGAACCAAAGTTACGGTGACCAAATTAACTCAATTTTCTTATAATGTTTTAGTTAGATTAGTTTAAACTTAATAGATGTGATTTTTTTTATTTGGATTAAAATTTAATTAGGCCTTGATAATTTAATGAGCATAATTTGGTTACAAGATAATTGAATTTTAATTTCTAATAGATTTTAGCTTAAAATATATATTTAATAAATATGATATATATAGTATTTAACATTTTCCATAAATTGATTAATTAACCAATTTTCAACGGAATTAACCGTTAACCAAATATTGAAAAAATTAACCGTTCTCCAAACCGAATTAATTCGGTGTCATTGTTTTAATTAGATCAATTCGGTTAAAACCGAGAAGTGAACGCCCCGATCGAGAGGGAAACAGAAAAAGTTACAAGAAAGAGCTTAATTTGCATCAAATCTTCTTAAAAAGTATTTTGATTATATAAAATCTGGTAAAATTAATTATGTTTAAATGTTCAGAATCCTTCTTCAACCCAAAACTGAAAATCTGGTAAAATAGATGAAAAATTTATCACCACACAATCAAAGTTCAAATCTCGATAAGCTCAAGATGCCTATTGTCTAAATAATTTAAGGTAGAGGACATAAATGGTCCTCCGATTATATGACATTGTTTTATTGAGTCATTCGACTATTAAAAATTATAAAATGATTCCCTAATTATATGATGTTGTTTTGTTGAGTCTCTTAACCGTTAAAAAATTAATGACAGCCTGAGTTGGATGTTAATTTATTTTATGAGATATGATAGTCATTTAAGATTTTGAGATCATATTTTATTATATCTCATCTAGTCGATTAACATCCAGCTCATATTACCGTCAATTTTTTAACATAAAATGAAGAATTTGAAACATATTGAATAGTGTGGTGATTATTTTATAACTTTTAACGGTTAATGGACTAAAAAAACAACATCCTATAACCAGGAGATCATTTTATATCTTTTGAAAGTCAAATGCCTCAACAAAATAATAATTTATCGTCGGAACCATTTGTATGCGTTATCTTATAATTTAATAAATATTTAATATTTAAAAAAAATTAAATATTGAATATTTACCGATTTTGTTCTCATCATATTATATTTATGCTGATGCAATTAGTACCGTCAATTTGAAAACAAACATTTCGTTTAGTCAAAAGTCAACAGATGGTCCCCCATGGCTCTTTTTTGTGACCGATAATCACGTTTGCTTATCAAATTGAACTTTCCAAGCTCGTTCCACCCGGCTTCCCGACCCTTTTAAATTATCAAGTATAACACGAATCAAACGATCTCAATGATTGAAGGAATGAAAATTATTTCTAAAATTTTCAAATTCGAACACCAATAGAATTAATTTATGCGTGGTTGATTACGACCAATATATGTGATACGGCCAAATCAGAAGAGAGTAAAGAAATATAGTCTGATTTAAGATTAAGGAAGGACGCAATCAAAAATTTATAAAAATTTTAATATTTTTGATTGAACGTAATTTAACAACCTAATTAAAAACTAAAAATGTTACATTATTCTAAACATTTAGTAAAAGCGTCAAAAAGTGAAGAAAATCTAACAGCTTAATCGGACAACATTTGTTTTTGCAATGTCAGCATTTTGCAAAGCGGACATCTGATGTGAGCACGAAGACAGTGTTGTCTGTCGCCCCCCTTTGAGCTGAGTTGAAGGAATTAAGCCGGTAAGTCAATCGAGTTGAGTTAACTCTATTCGAAAAAGTTTAATTATGAGTTTAAATCGAATCGAAAGTTTATGAGTTTAAAATTATTGAACTCGAATTAAACTCGAAATCACAAATTAAAATTCAGCGCGAATTCGAAAAAGTTTTGAATTCGAAACATTCTCAGATTTTGCTTAATTGAAATTTGAACTATAACTTGAATTTAAATCTTAGTATATAAAAACCTTATATTACGTTTTTTTTAAAATGACATATAAATGTTAATATTACTAATTTAATATAAAATTTCAATATATTAATATATTATTTTTCGAATTACTTGCGAGTTTTTCGAGCCAGGTATCAAGTATAAGGATGGGCGGATTCCAACTCGACCTGACCTGATCTGGTCGGAATTTTTAAAGAAAATTTCAGGTTCGGGTCAGATTTGGTTCAAATTTAGGGTGAAAAAATCAACCTGACCTGACCCAAAAAATAAAAAAAAAATCTTATATATTTAGGGATAATTGTAAGAATACCCCTCTTTATATTATTTTTTAATTAAGTCTCTATTTATTAAATAAAATTAATAATTTTAATTTATTTCAGGTTGGATCGGAGTCGAGTTTTATCTCAAAAGTCGGGTTATGTGGGATTACTCTAAACTCGGGTCGGGTGGAGGTGTAAAATTTTTGAGAAGGTCGGGTTGGCCGAAAACCCGACCCAACCTGGCATATGCCCATCCCAAATTAAATAGCTTATTTCGGCTCGTTAAGAATTTGAGTCATGCTCAAGCTTAAATCGAGTATGTTTCAATTAAATATTAATTGAACTTTAATCAAATTAAATTCGAGTACATACGTACGATAAGTACAACAAGTTTTCAAAAACTCATGATAGGTGTACGATAGAATACGAAAATCGAGAAAAAAATTATTTATTAGATTTTGCACATTCACATCATTATAGTGGAAGAAAGTATTTAATCATTAAAATTTTATTAATAAATTAGCATTGATATAATAATAAAGAATTTTTATATAAACTAATGGTTGGAGTGTATTTTTTTTTTGTCTTTTCAGTTCTTAAGACTTCATCTTCATTAATCCGATCAACTTGGGTCGTATATTTGGTTTTTAGTGAGTGAGTCTTTCAGCGGAGATTTTCTGTATTCACAAAGACTCGAACTCAAAACATGCCTTAACGAAAACAAGCTGCTTACCGTTTGAACCAAGTCCATTAATATATCTCAAGTGTATGATTCTTATTTAGTGCTTTTAGTTATTTTATTTAATAATATATAAAAGTATGAGATTGAGATTACTGTCATAGAGAAACCCTTATTATAAGAATCAATTTATCATTATAATTTTCAATCGTTTGAATTGAAAGCTCACGTCTTTGATATTTTAAGCGTTTGAGCTCAGGGTCTCAAGGAATTACAAAATTCCTCTACTACTAAGATCATTCTGTTCATGCGTAAATACAAACGTTATAACAATCGTAATATCAATTCGATATATATGATACAAATAACAATATCAATAAGCATGCAATGACAATATCAATATTAAAACATACAAAAAGTAGTAAACAGCGGTAACAATAGGCGTGGAATATAGTTATCAGTAAACACGTACTAAGAGTTCAACTCCACGACATTATAATGTAGTATCTACTCATAATCTTATTTAGTCATTGACAACGTATACACACCTTGTAGATATAGCTGTTCGAACCCGAAATTTTAAAGAAGAACAACACTCCCTTTATCCATTGAGACCACTCAACGAATTCACATTTCTCTCTTCTTCAACATCCAGATTCTATAGAAACAAAGTCAGTAGTGTTCTCCATAAACTCGTAGTTTTATTCTTTACATAACTTACCAATGAAGTTAGTATGTATAAGCATTTGTACAAGTGTTCTTCATATGGCTTGTACCTTTGGATTGTTATATGAAAAAAAAAGTCCCCTCTCTTATTCCTATTTTTGGGAATCTCATTCATATTAATAACTTCTTATATTGTTAATATGTTTCTTATAAATTTAATAATACAGAGCTAGACGAGTCTACTATCGGAATTTATTTACGTTCTATTCGTGATCAATGTAACCAGTTCCTTAATTATATGGTGGTTTATATATGTCGGGAGACTAATAAAGTGGCTCATGTTTTAGCTAGGAGAGCTCTCTTGCATCATGTTACCTTTTTCTTTGATACTGATTATCCCGATTTCATTGAGGTTGATGTAACAAATGATATCGAAGATGAATATTAATACAATTAAAAAAATAAGAAATAAACTAATATAATTAAAAATAGGGAATAAAATTACTAATTTTAAACCATTACAAAGACAAAATTCCGGTGTCTTTCTTTATTTTTAATTTTTGGAAGACCTTTCAGGTCCATTGATATTAGAGCATGCTATAAATAGTTGAAGAGGGTCATACCATAGAACTAATGGCTTTAGTCTTTTAACTATCAAAATCCTTTAGAACCAACGTTGTATTCGGGCTAAAATCCTTACAGTTTGCTCAATTTATTCTCTTCTTTTCCATTTCTTCTCTCTCTTTTATTGTCTCTACATTTCGAAGTAGATGTTAAAAGAATCATAGTTTTCACATATATCATAGAATGTCATGATTTTGATCGGTTGAACAAAGGTGTATATCTGTTTTTTTTTGTTGAAAAAGAGAAAGAAGGTTGTTTTTTTTTAAAGTAAGTAATTATGGAACAAAAGGGGATAATATTGTCTGCTATAAGTGCTGGGGTTGGCGTTGGGGTAGGTCTCGGATTGGCTTCGAGCCCAACTGTGAGCAAAAGGGTTGGTTGGAATTTTGAAGACGATGATATTACAAGGGAGCAGATTGTGCAAGAACTAATGAGACAAGTTATTGATGGAAAGTTTAGCAAGGTCACCTTTGATGACTTCCCTTATTACCTTAGGTAGGGCATACAATGGGCCTTCTTTTTCCCACTTTTTTATATGGCATTTTCATTACATGTTTTGCATTAGGTTTTTCTTTCACATTCATGTAGATGTTTAGAAGATATTGAGAAATGAAGATCTGCTCTTTTGTTTTGTTTTTTTCATTGTTAAAATGACTACAATCGGTAATAGGATTTGGTTGCTATACTGCCATTGGTTGTTCTGTGTTTGATGTTGGTCCCCAATCAATTATGGAAGGTGGATATCAATTATTTATTAAACTAATGAATATTAAAAAGATTTTTTACGTTTAATTAAATGAATGAACACGAACAAATGACTTGTTCGTTCATTTATGTTTGTGAATATTCGATAATTCGTTCGTTTATGTTATTTATATTCATTCGTTTATGTTGTTTATATTCATTTGTTTAAATTTATTCACATATGTATTTCCTTTCATTTCACGATAGATTGAAAAAAATACCCTAAATCGTTTAAATTTATCTTCGTTTACTTTTGGGTTCATTTGCATTTGTTTGTGTTTGTTTATCATATGAATATGAACGAACGCGAACAAGTCACATTCCTTAACGAACGAACATGAACAAGAAATTATATTCGATTAGTTGTTCATGCTCGGTTAAAGTTAAACGAACGAACATGAACATACCCTCATTCATGCTCGTTCTTCATGTTCGTTCGGTTTGTTTGAAGTCAATTGTGTTGGTAGATTTCATTTTTTGTTCCTATCAAGGGTGTTGATTTTTTCCAACAATATCATAAAACTTTGGTAGATTGATACTATATTGATTCTTCAACATGATATTGTTTGGTGTTTGAACATGCCAACATTTATGTAATGATTTCAAGTTAGGGTAGACTACTTTTGGAAAATATTATATCTTGAACTCCATGAAAGTTGCAAGTTTTGCTTTGGCATCAAATTTGCACTTCCAATAGGTTGACTCAAGTGGTAAGTAGTTTGATCTCGCATAAGCAAGGTTTCATTTTCGAGTCTTGTGAGTGCAGAAAATCCCCAATGGGAAACCCACCCACAAAAACCAGGTGTACGACTCGGGCCGATCTAGATTAATTAGGGCAAACCCTGGAAATGGAGGGCAACTTCAATAATTTATCTATGCAAAAATTTACTGCTCCTTGTGTTGGTTAATGCAGTGAGAGAACTCGAGTGTTATTAACAAGTGCTGCATACATCCAACTAAAAAACAACGATGTTTCTCGGCATACACGAAACCTTTCCCCTGTCAGCAGAGCTATTTTGTTATCAGGACCTGCTGGTATGTCTATGGATTTGTTTCTTTAGTCTTCATGAATATGTTCACCTTTAAGAGTTAATTTTTAAGCTAATGGGTTGATTTTTTATCATGAGAAGAACTTTACCAGCAAATGCTTGCCAAGGCTTTGGCGCATTACTTTGAATCAAAACTACTGCTTTTGGACATTACTGATTTTTCTCTTAAGGTGTGAATGTGCACAACTTCTATTATCTTAAACTTAAAATCTCAACTGCGATAGTATGCTACTTACTCTTTTTGTGATCATCTTGCAACAGATGCAAAGCAAATATGGTTGTACCAAGAAAGAACCTGCACCTGTAAGTTCGATTTTTTCGTGTTCTTTTTACTAGTAACCACAGCCTAATTTAGTTTCATCTTTTGCAGTCCTTGAAGAGGTCTATTTCGGAGATGACTCTAGAGCGAGTGAACAACTTGTTTGGTTCCTTGCAACTCCTTTCCCCAAGAAAAGAAACAAGGGGTATTCTTTCAAAGTTTTGCTTATTTAGGTTCCGATTTTATGCGTCACTGCAACATGCTTCTATGTCATGTGTTTCATCAATAATTTTACAATTTTTTTTAGAAATTTATTTCTAATCAGTAATTTTCTTGCAGGCATGTCACCGCAACAGGGTAGTGCTATTGATCTCAATTCCAGGTATGGTACAGGGTAGAAGAATATGTGTTTAGCCTGCTGCTGCTGGTTACTGCTGGACCAGAGGTGAGGTACCAGTTATAACCTTTTCCCTAATACAGTGGCAGGCCTATGGAAGGTTCAGGCAAGCTTCCGAAACATCGTAGAAATGCCTCAACAGCATGTGATTTAAGTAGCATCTCTTCGAACCGTGCTCTCGTAAATTCAGGTTACCCTTCTATTTCTTCTTTATATCTTTCTGGAAAACCTTACGATTCGAATGATAAATTTACTATAGTCGGAGATGTCGAAAAAGATTAATCTCATTTGTTTCATTTTGGGGAGCCTTACTTGATAAGACCATTTGACATGCTGAAAACTTCTAGCTAATGTGAAGAATATTCATTTGACATTCAATTCTTGACACATGAGAACATGTGGAGGAAATCACTAACATTCTTTGATCTCTTTTGTTTCTTTTAGCTCCCCACAAGCGCACTAGCAGTTGGTGTTTCGATCAGAAACTTTTTCTGCAATCACTTTACAGGGTATGCCATAAATATTCTTTTGTGCATTTTATGTCAACCTCATAAGATCCATATGCTAATATGTTCTAATAAACTGTTTTTTAAGCCTAAGAATTGATTCAAGTAAATAGTTGTTGCTTGCATCTCTTTCGATTTACTTCCATAAGGTCATTTTCATTCTCCTGTAGGTATTGGCTTCAGTATCCAAAACCGGTCCCATTATCTTATACATCAGGGATGTTGAGAAGCTTATCCTCCAATCAGAGAACTTCTACAATCTGTTTCAAAAAATGTTAAACAAACTTTCCGGTCCGGTATTGATACTTGGTTCCAGGATGTTGGACCCTGAGGATGATTACAATGAGGTGGATGACAGGCTTGCAGTGTTATTTCCTTACAACGTTGAGATAAAACCTCCCGAAGACGAAACTCGTCTCCATAGCTGGAAAGTGAAACTTGAGGAGGACATGAAGATGCTCCAAATTCAAGATAACAGGAACCACATTGCTGAAGTACTAGCAGCAAATGACCTCGAATGTGACGATTTGAGTTCGATCTGTTCAGCAGACACAATAGTATTAAGTAATTATATTGAAGAAATTATTGTATCAGCAATCTCTTATCACTTGATGAACAGCAAGGATCCGGAATATCGGAATGGAAAGCTTGTTATATCTTCCAAAAGGTAGACATTATTCATTATATGATCTTGATACAAGTTCCTTTCACAACACACATATATATATATATATATATATTTAAATTCTCTAAGTAGCTCACCATTGGTGTTCTGGCCCTGGAGCAGCTTATCCCATGGACTCAATTTATTCCAAGAAGGAAAAGGTTGCGGGAAGGATACCTTAAAATTAGGGACAAATGCTGAATCGACCAAGGATGAAGAGGTTGTACGTGCAAAACCTGAACCGAAATCCGACACCACCGTCACTAAAATGAAAAATAAGATTGAGAAATCCAATCCTGCTATGAAAAAGGATGCCGAGAATCCGCCAAAACCAAAAGTAGCTGTAAGTTGATGTCCTTTGACGATTAACTAAAAACTGGAATGAATGTGACTTCAAGGATATAAACAATTAGTTAATGTCCATGCAGGAAGTTCCTCCTGATAATGAATTCGAAAAAAGAATAAGGCCAGAGGTTATTCCTCCGAATGAGATCGGCATGACATTTGCAGATATCGGTGCTCTGGATGAGACCAAAGAATCACTTCAGGAGTTGGTCATGCTTCCTCTACGAAGGCCCGATCTCTTCAACGGAGGGCTTCTGAAGCCATGTAGAGGTATACTACTCTTTGGACCTCCTGGTACAGGGAAAACAATGCTAGCAAAGGCCATTGCCAATGAAGCTGGAGCAAGTTTCATTAATGTATCAATGTCCACCATAACTTCAAAATGGTTTGGGGAAGACGAAAAGAATGTGAGAGCTTTATTCACACTAGCAGCAAAGGTTGCGCCGACCATAATTTTCGTGGACGAGGTTGATAGCATGCTGGGACAGAGGACTAGAGTTGGGGAGCACGAAGCTATGCGAAAAATTAAGAATGAGTTCATGGCTCATTGGGATGGCCTATTGACAAAATCCGGTGAGCGAATTCTCGTCCTTGCTGCAACCAACAGGCCATTCGATCTTGATGAGGCAATCATCAGGCGTTTTGAACGCAGGTATATCTCCATAACCATGTGATTTGCTAATTTTTTTAATCCTTTCAGCATCTGCAATTCAGGGACTCACTTGCTAACAAGGCAATATAACCGATCATCTTTATCTTTTCGTTTTACCAGAATTATGGTTGGCCTTCCATCGACAGAGAGCAGAGAAAAGATTTTGAGAACTCTACTTGCAAAAGAGAAAGTTGAAGATCTTGACTACAAGGAGCTTGCAACCATGACAGAAGGATATAGTGGAAGTGACCTCAAGGTTTGTATTTATATCATTAACATTTATCAGCAATTTGTGTTTATGAACTGAATGCATTAGCTACTCGAAACAGAACTTGTGCGTGATGGCAGCTTATCGACCCGTTAGGGAGTTGATTCAGCACGAGAGGTTGAAGGATCTGGTGACTACTTAACTTTTCTTCTAAAACTCCATCATTCTAACTCATAATTTTACTGTTAACAGTAGGTGCAGACAATGTACCTTACAATTCCTACTTTCAATAACTTTATAATCAGAAAAAAAGGAGAGAAGCTGGCCAGAGTTTCCAAGATGCTTTAGGGACAAAAGAGGAGAATATGAAGGAAGGAGCAATTACTTTGAGGCCTTTAAACATGGAAGATATGAGAGAAGCAAAGAATCAGGTAAATTCTAGTCATTTTGCCTTCAAACAACAAACTTTTAGAACCATACTCTATTATTTTCTGGGTAAACTACATCAGATACCACCAAACTTTAGGCAATGCATCGTTCATACCACCGAACTTTCAATTTTGCCAATTATAGCACTGAACTTTGATTTTTGTTTCAATTATACCACTAAACTGTTAAATCGTTAACGGCACGATGACTTCGCTGACGGCTGCCAACGTAGACACCTCACTAAACATGGAATTGGCATTTTATGCATAAAAGCTTGTTTCAAATACTGCAAATGTAGGTTGCTGCCAGCTTTGCTTCCGAAGGATCAGTAATGAGCGAGCTGAAGCAATGGAATGAGTTGTATGGAGAAGGAGGTTCAAGGAAGAAGCAATCGTTAACTTACTTCCTTTAGATTGATTAATAACTCTTGTATATCTTAACTAATTGGGCTCTATGACCTACGTTTAACTGGGTCTTTAAGTGATTATGTACACTAGAGTTCTATCTATATATACTCATCTATTGTAACAATGATATCTATCGATATATAAATATTTTACATGATAATCAGAGCACTGTAGAATTGTCCTACACAACTTTTTATTTTCTTCTCTCTTTATCGCATATTAGTTATTGCTTCGCCATCTGCCATCAACGATCTTAATGCACAAATTAACTTCTCAATCAAGCTTACGTCTGTCATGTGGAAGCTACACTCATTGGATTCATCTTAACAGGCTATATGGATGGAACAAACCAGCTCCGTTCTGATGTTGAGACCAAGACGACTAATCTTGAGTACCTTTTGTGGTATCGCCGAAGACCAAATCCTCACATTTGTGACGATACACTTCAACCTCTTATTTCATCTGCTGCCACTGCTAAATCTGTATGAGAAATGCTGGTCGCGAGTTGCGCCATATCATTTCTCTCAAATTAAAGTTGCTCGCAATTTGTGTGTTTCCAGATATATATCAGAATACGTAAAAGACATGCAAGTTATTGCATCAGATCTTGCATTAGCCAGTTGTTAGTTTCAAATACAGACTTGTTGATCTCTATCGTTAATCAATTAGGTGATGATTATAGACTCATAGTTGATGCCCTGTGTTCGTAACAAACCAACGACAATGCTGGAGTTATTTGAGATCTTAACTCTTTCTCGTGAGATTGATGAATCTTCGCTTCTAGTGGTAGCAAACAAGATGCAACAAGTTACGTTCGTGGTTATTCCACTGATAGCACCACTCATTGCTCTCAAGGGAAAAGTCTCATTTTCTGTTAAAAATTTAATAGTATTCTGAGCTGAATTTTTTAATTTTGTTGACTGTGATATGATCTTAGAATCTCAAACAATTATCATATCTCAATCATCATGTTAACGTTCAGTTTAGACAACCACAAATTTTTTAACAGAAAAGGATAAATTCGGAACAAAAATGAATAGTCAAGTGACCATTTTATAACTTTTAATAGTTAAGGGACTCAACAAAGCAACACTCTATAGTTGGAGGATCATTTTGTTACTTTTAATAGTCGAAGGACTTAATAAAGTAGTACCTTATAGTCGGGGGACCATTTGTGTACTTTACCCTTAAATATATAGCTAAATCTATTAAATGATATACCCAAATCCAATACGACTCGAGATCGACCTATTAGAATGTCACATGGGACCACCTGAGTGCCTAACCCAAAAAATTTTTTAAAACGTTTATAATATCATATAAAGACAGTTTGATAAAACGTAAAATCAAATATAAATAGTTTAATCCACTTCAATGAGCTCCCAAATAAATACATCAAAATAATATAGTTGAGTATTTGAAAATAAAGTTACAACTCAAGTACAAGAAGGTCTATGAATAATACATGCCCTCTAAGGAATAAGACTCAAGATGTACGTTGTAGCTCAAACTATCTTAAACGTTTGTTGTGCAATAGGCTCCTCGAATGGTCCTCTTAAAGACCTGCGCACTGAAACAAAATTCGAACGCTAAACTCGCTAACCTAGTGCCACACTAACAACTAAACCATACTAAAAGTGTTCATTAAATGCTCGTGCTATCGAGTGTAATAAAGAAAGTGAGTATACTAGTATATTGTACACTACTCTAGGGTATACATCATGGTGTGGTCGGAGGATTCCACATCTCGGGCCACACACCCCTTTAGCTTACCTAGGGTGAGATATAGATTTCTGCACTGGACACAACACCCGACTAACCTATCCATCGCAAGTGTTCGGGCTTCGTGCTCTAGTTAGTCACAAAGTGCATCGCGCACTTGCTTGAGGATATCCTGATATTCTATACCTCGAAATTATTTTCATCTACTAAAGTAACTCGGGTGTCCTGTTCGTTTCTCGAGCATTAACCAAGGCCAATTTTATGTCGTCCTAGTTGTTATTGTTTCTAGTTGTAATTGTATATTAACAAGGTTCTCACTTGTAGTTTTATTTGTTGGTGTTTTATTGTCATTGGGTCTCTCAATATTATTTCTAAATCCCTTGGGTTCCTTGCCCAATGATGTACAATGGTACTTGTACTCAACCCCTTAGTATCGGTACTGACTCTCAAGTATTGGTACTCTCCCTTGGGTATCAATACTTACACAGTGATTACGAGCTAAGAAAGAAGGGTAGTATTGATACTCCTGGACCAATATCGATACTCTCAAGCTAGGGTATCGATACCGAATTTTGCTTCGATGTTTTGAAAAATAGTTCGGTGTCAATACTCCCATGAGTATCGATATCAAAATGACCTACTGAAATCTGCTAAGTGTGCTTTGTATCTGACAAATGTCGTAATTGTCAAATAATTAATCTTTTTTCCTGGATAATTATACTAAAAATGCATAATAGGGAAGAAGGGTGTCGGTCCACAAGGATTCAAAATTTTCTAATTCTGATTTGATTTAATCTTGAACCAAGAAAGTTGTACAACAAATAATTAAAAAAAAATTTAAAATAATCAAGTAAACTAAATAAAATAAAATAAAAGTAACGAAAGCAATAAAAATAAGAAAAGTAAATTGTAAAAAAAAAATATGATGAGAGATAGCCTCCAACTTCGCTTTGTCTCAATCAGTCTCGATCACTAAAATAAGTTTTACTTCAGGTACTTGCCAATTACAATCTACAAGGCCCAACCCTTGTAACTTGCTCTTCTCGTTGATGAACTAATTTCCAAATTCAATCCTTGGAATTTAGCCCATATTTGGATTAATGTCGTCTATCAACTTTAACGCCAATGTTGGTTTAAAACTGGGAAAGCCTGTGCTCGGATTATGGTGTCTCAATGAGAATCGAATCCGATCTTGATTTCCCTTAGCGGACCATTGCTAAGTTTTCTTAGAGAATTGAACTTGCTACAAGTCAATTCTCCTTCTCAACTGTAAATCGCAACGTCCATCGAGCCAATGTGCACTCCTTGGATTGAAGATATCGAGATGTCTGAAGAAAGGTTGATTGCCTCTTTTTGTCTGCCAAAAATCCAGAAAGAAATCTGAAGGTATGAAGCGCCTTTACAATTTTCACGAGATTGGATTGAGTCGCAACTTAGCTAATTGCTAACGAAAAGTTTAGCCAAGCACGGTGAAACTAATGCTTGACGCGTGGAAGAAAGAGTAGATGAAATAGGAAAAAAACACTTATTAGAACGAAAGAATAAGCCAAAATCGGTTCTATATTGAATTTTGAACTTGTAAAGTACATCTTTCAAGCTTCACCCCGATGGGTGTGAGAAAACCTAACGAAAATAAAATACCTAAAGAAAATAAAATCCTTGGCAAACTGAAATCTTATTAATTAAATAATAAAATATAAAAAAATTGAATTTAATTACAATGTTTAATTCTTAAAGAATTTTGATTCGCTTTGCTTTTTCCTTTGATCTTGCTACTTGGATTATTTATTGCAGTTGGCACCCTACTTGGTCTCTGAATTTGAGTTGGCGCCAACTTCTCCAGATAAATGGGATAAATCTGATTTAATTCGTACTTTAATTGTTGTTTTCTGAAAAATAGAGTCATGAGCGAAATCTAACACAAATAACTCAAATTAGCACTATAAAAGGGAATAACACAATTTAATTAATAATAAATTATCAACCAAATAAACACTCATCAGTATCGATACTACACTATGAGTATCGAAATCTGACCAACAATATCAATACCCCTTGGATGAGTATCGATACTTCCCTTCCCAATTTAAGCTAACTGATGAACAATATCAATACCGTTCTTCCAGTACCGATATCCAAACCCATAAATGTCATGTTTGGGCACAAAAATAACTCCCTAATTTATCTCAAGTACCCTATTGATGTCCTCAAACATTCTTAAAGTCTTATGTATGAAAGGAGGGGTCATAATAGGTTTTACACATGCTAAAAACAACAAATGCTTGAATCTACCATGAATGCTCATTCATGCTTAACAACTCAATACTCACCAGCTAAATGCATTCCCATGACTCATAAATGGTATGAAAGTTTTGTGAATGTGCTACCTTAGTTTCCTAGCTGCTAGAAATATTCTCAAATCAACCAAGGATCAATTTCTCGTTTCCTTTAATCTTAGAGTTTTCTCCCCTCTTCTCTAATCAAAGTCAAGGTAAATGAGTTACTCATCAGAGGCTCAAAAGATTAGAAATATGATTTCAAATCTCTAAAAACATATTTAGAGTATTAAGGAAATCCAAAACCCACTTTAAACCCTCACATAAGACATTTCCATGATCAAAACTTATAATAGGAGGCTTGGATGAAGCTTGAGATGTTCAGATTTCGTTTCTTACCTTAAAAAGATCTTAAATGTGATTGAGAGTCTACAAGTTTCCACCTTTGCACTATGCTTGGAAGAGGAAAAACTATGAGAACGGATAAGATGAGGGTAGGGAACCAAAAAAAGCTAGAAATGAAGGGAAAAGGAGAGTGGATAAGCAAATTACATCATCATCATTAAAATAAATTCAGCCTTTGTTTGAAAATAGGGTAAAATTGTCCTTTTCATCCTTTCTTTTTCACTCAACTATTAAAACGCCTCCTTTTTCTAACGCTTGGAGCCTAACCAAAGCCCAAGTTCATCCTTAACTTGATCCAAGTTTCACATAGATCTAATGGGCTTGTCTAAATAATCTCGAGTTAGTCCGAAACTATTAATCCGAGATTTTGGGCATTACAATACCAATGGTTAAAAGTTTCAGATTCAAACATCTATGTTTGTAGTAGTATGTGTTATCTATCACAAAAGAAAAAAAGATTGTGAGCAATTACTCTAGACTATTAATATATATATATATATATATATATATATATATATATATATACTTAAACGATAATTATTAGCATTGGATTAAGTAATTTGTATTTTAGATTATGTTGTGGATTGAGAAATAAGGAGAAGAAATTATCGAAGAATATGGGATTTTAGAAGAAGAAGAAGGGAGATTACAGAAAAAGTATTCTCATTCATTCAATTCATAAAAGGAAATGTACTCCATATGAGGTATTATTTAGTTACAATTCGTACTGGTAAATCTAACACAGCCAGCTGGCAATTTTTTTATAACTGAATGCTTAACAAACTGATTCCTTTTTCTTTTGTATTTCAGGTACTGGGCCACTCAACTGGGCCGCTCCATCTCGCTCCAAACCTCCTTGGCCTGCCTCCACATCATCAGGTAAGTCAAATTCCCCTCGTGCTTTAATCTCTTTTCTGATTTCAATCCCCAGTTTACTCTTGTGAATCCCTAAACTCTCATCCTCCAAAATCCCTAACCCTCCTTTCTCCATTCCCAAATCATGTTCGTTCCTCTGTTCTTCATCTTCTTCTCCAACTATAACAATACCCGCCCCACAAGACGAGCCTTGTCCCCAAGGATCAAACAAAGGAAACTGGCCACGCAGAAACGAATAATCTTCCCAGGTATTGTTCGATTCATCCAAGTTTTCCCATTGAACCAAAAGCTGAGTGATTAGCTTTCCATTTCTATTTACGATACGTCTTCCCATAATTTTTAAGGGTTTAATCCGTAACTGACCATCATCGTTTATTGTAGGAGGATTTGTAGCAGTCACCGATGAATCTCCAATAAATCTCTTCAAAAGGCTTACGTGAAATACAAGATGGAGTCTCGAAGAATCAGGTAAGTCCAACCGATAAGCCACCTCACCTATTTTTTCAAGTATTTTGAATGGTCTATAATATTTGGATGCTAACTTGAGATTTTTTCGCAGGGCAATTGAAGATTGTTTATACGGCTGCAACTTCAGGTACACCAATTCTCCAATTTGAAAAACCCTTTTTGATATATTTTTATCAGCCTGCTGCTTCATTCTGTTACTGGCTACTTCTAATTGATGCTTGATCATTTGCCTTATATGCTCCATGTTAGACATAATTTCACTTACTGACTGAACTGTAGTATCTATTGGCCAAACCATAATAGGTGGTTTGTACCCATATAAAGCCATATAAAGCCTGAAAGGGAGTTAATTTTAAAACAGTATGGTAAGTGGTGTTGTACCACCATTCTGCCTGAGGTAGCCATTTAGCCCAATGTCTAGGCTGAAAAAAACAAATGCCCCTTAAATACTGCTCTAAACACTGATTGACTCTCTCTATTTGTCCATCCGTTTCTGGATGATAAGCAGTGATGAACAGTGTCCTTGTGCCTAATTGTTTCATCAATTCTTTCCAAAACAAACTAGTAAAGGTCTTATCTCTGTCAGAGATGGCCATTTTAGGTTGACCATGTAGTTTATAAACATTGTCTAGGTAGAGTTTAGCAACCTCTGCAGTAGAATAAGGATGAGCGAAGGACAAAAATGATTGTATTTGGTAAATTTATCCACAATTACCAAAATACAATTTTTCTTGAAGGATGTAGGCAAACCCTAAATGAAATCCATAGTAATTAATTCCCATGCTTGATTAGGAACAGGTAGGGGCTGTAGCAAACTAGGTTTTGTCACATGTTCCACCTTAGTTTGCTGACAAACTTCACAACACCTCACATAGGTAGCAACCATAGCTTTAAGATTTGGCCAATAAAAATTTGACCTAATCCTATAATATGTAGCATGTGCCCCAGAATGTCCACCCTTAGGAGAATCATGCAAAGTCTGTATAACTTTCAACCTAAGGCTTCCATTAGCTCTAATATAAACTCTCCCATCATATTTGAGAACAGCCTTAGCATATTTCCATTTATTGTCAGCAGTAGAATTAATAGTTAAAATGGAAATCCAATTTTGAGCTAGAGAATCATCCTTATAGCTTTACTCAATCTCTTGAACCCAAGTAGGCACCAAAATTGTCACCCCTATAGTCAAACAAGAAGCTTGATCCTCCCATGTTCTAGATAAAACATCAGCAACTACATTTGATTTCCCCTTTCTATACTGAATAGTGTAGTCTAAACCCAATAGCTTTGTCAACCCTTTCTTCTGGATGGTGGTAGTTAACTTCTGCTCTAAAAGATATTTCAAGGGCTCATGGTCAGTTTTAATAACAAATGGTATGCTTTCCAAATAATGTCTCCATTTAGAAACAACCAAGAGAATATCAAGATATTCTCTTTCATAAATAGACAGATCTGAGTGTGTATGACTTAAAGCTTTACTCAAATAGGCAATAGGTCTTCCCTATTGTGAAAGAACAACCCCTATACCCCCAGAGCTAGCATCTGTTTCCAGATAAAAAGTCTTAGAAAAATCTGGTAATGCCAAAACTGGAGCAGAGCACATAGATTTTTTAAGATCCTCAAAAGCAATATAAGCAGCAGAAGTCCATTGGAACCCATCATTTTTTAACATTTGTGTCAATGGTCTGCTAATAATGCCATAATTCTTAATAAATCTCTTGTAGTATCCTGTCAGGCCAAGAAATCCTCTAAGAGATTTAAGGGATTTAGGTTTAGGCCAAATATGCATTGTTTCCACCTTACTAGGGTCTGTAAACACCCCTGTAGCAGAGATAATATGGCCCATATACTCCACTTTAGCCTGTCCAAAAAAACATTTGGAGAGTTTTGCAAATAATTGATTCTTTTGCAAAACTTCCAATACTAACTGTAAATGTTCAACATGGTCTGTCATACTGCTGATGTACACCAATATATCATCAAAGAAAACCAAAACAAATTTTCTAAGGAAAGAATTAAACAAGTCATTCATAAGTGCCTGAAATGTAGCAGGAGCATTAGTAAGGCCAAAAGGCATCACCTTAAATTCATAATGGCCTTGATGTGTTCTAAATGCAGTCTTGTAAATATCTTATGGTTTAATTCTAATATGCCAATAACCTGACCTCAGATCAATTTTTGAAAAGTAAATTGCCCCATGTAGCTCATCCAATAAATCCTCCACTATAGGAATAGGAAATTTGTCCTTAATAGTCATACTATTAAGTTGTCTGTAATCCACACAAAACCTCCAAGTGCCATCCTTCTTTTTAATAAGAAGGCAGGGAGAGGCAAATGGGCTTCTGCTAGGTTGAATGATAGAAGAAGAAAGCATTGTAGTGATTTGTCTTTCAACCTCAGCCTTCTGATTGTGAGGAAATCTGTAAGGCCTTAAATTAACTGGGGTGGCAGTAGACTTAAGTGAAATGGCATGATCATGAGACCTCTGGGGAGGTAGCCCTTCAGGTTCTGCAAAAACTGAGTTGTATTTCTCCAAGATATGTTGAAGTTCCATAGGAATAGCAAAAGAACTTCCTGCCATAGTAAATAGGACAATATGCCCTATAATATCAGAATCCCCTGCACTCATTTTAAGTAATGTAGCCCCTGAAATTTATTGTAGTTCAGTTGAGGGCTACTGTCCCTGAATACAAATCTGCTGCCCTTCATGATTAAAACTTAAAGTCATATGATTGAAGTCCATTAATATTGGATTGAATAACTTCATCCAATCTACTCCTAAAACCATGTCACTCCCACCCAGTTTAAGCAGCCTAAAATCATGCAAAAAGTATGTCCCTGCATTTGCCACTCTACTTTATTGCCTGCATTTGCCACTCTACTTTATTTCATCTAGCAGTACTGAATAATTGTTGGCCATTAGCCACAGTAATAGCCAAAGGACAAGGAGTAGTAATCTGAATCCTAGCATCAGCTCATTTAGGAGTCAAAAAAACTATGTGTATGACCAATAGAGCCAGTAATAGCATTCATAGAGATTTCTAAAGTTTCCTTTTCTGTTTGTGGAGTCTGGTCTGAATCTGTAGGAAAAATTTCCACTGAAGGAGTATCCATTTCTTCCGTAATCATGTTCAATTGTCTATTTTTACATTGATGACCTGGAAGATACTTCTCACCACATTTAAAACAAAGATTATTTTGCCTTCTATGCTCCATAAGACTCTGTTTAGGATTTGCTACTGTTGTAGGTTTTGTATTAACTGGCAGTGTGTATGGTTTAGAAACAGTACTGGGGTTTGGGTAGGGTGGGACTTTAAAAGAAGGCCTCAACCTTCTGTTTTCAAACTCCACAGATAATTCATAGAGTTTAGTTTACTTACATGCTTCAAATAAATTCTTAGGATCTAGAGCCTTGACCCTATATTTAATATCATCTCTGAGTCCACTAACAAATAGTGTCACAAAAAATTCCTCAGTCAAAGTAGGATTCTGCAAAAGCATATGAGGTTGTAACTCCTCAAACTTCTCCTGATAATCCTCTACAGACCCTTTCTGAGTCAATTTAGTAAACTCTTCAACAATATCAGAAAAACATCTATCACTAAATCTATGACAAAGATCAGCTTCAAACTCATGCCATGTAACATGGTGTTTTTGCATAATATACCCATCAAACCATATCTCTGCCTTGCCTGTTAAGTACATAGTAGCTACCTCCACTCTCTGCTCAACAGGAACACCACAAATAGAAAAGTACTTATGGCATTTCTGAATCCACCCCCTCGGATTAACTCTTTCGAAAAAAGGCAGTTCAATTTTAGGTCTATGCCACATATTCCCTGTACTGCTAAATGAACCCTCTGGTTCCTTGTTTTCAGCTATCATTCCCATCATATTAGGTCTAGTGTTACTGTTTTCACCTATCAGATTTTCAGGCCTAGAACTGTTCTTAATGACCAAACAAGCATCATGTTTATCTTTCAAAATCCTAGGTTCATCCGTTTTATAAGTGAATCTTGATTTATCTTTCACTACAGTCTCTCCCCATCTTTAGAGTTATTAGGAGTTCGTACCTGTTCCCCAACAGGTTGTTCATTTTCATTTGTTCTGCATGTTAAGATCTTTAACGGTTCTTCAACATAGCCCTGATTAGTAGCCATCCTCGACTCCAATGCAGTAATTTTGTTTTCTTGCATTTCCCACCATTTAGGTGGACTCGTCTCGTCCTGTCCTTTCTTTACTAACGCTGTTAAATCTTCCATTTGCTTTTGCAGGCCTGAAAGATCGACTTCAGCCATGGACTGATTCTTCTTTGCCATGCTCAATATTTTGCCGGAACCGAGGCTCTCGATACCAATTTGTTGTGGATTGAGAAATAAGGAGAAGAAATTATCGAAGAATAGGGGATTTTAGAAGAAGAAGAAGGGAGATTACAGAAAAAGTATTCTCATTCATTCAATTCATAAAAGGAAATGTGCTCCACATGAGGTATTATTTAGTTACAATTCGTACTGGTAAATCTAACACAACCAACTGGTAATTTTTTATAATTGAATGCTTAACAAACTGATTCCTTTTCCTTTTGTATTTCAGGTACTGGGCCACTCATCTGAGCCGCTCCATCTCGCCCCAAACCTCCTTGGCCTACCTCCACATCATCAGGTAAGTCAAATTCCCCTCGTGCTTTAATCCCTTTTCTGATTTCAAACCCCAATCTACTCTCGTGAATCCCTAATCCCTCATCCTCCAAAATCCCTAACCCTCCTTTCTCCATTCCCAAATCATGTTCGTTCCTCCGTTCTTCATCTTCTTCTCCAACTATAACAGATTATTCATCACGAGTTTTCGATTGATGAAAGAATGATATTAGAGTTAGCAATTAAGCAAGTGTAAGGCAAATATAAATACTTTTCATACTTGAAGACATTTTCTTATACAGTCTAATTTTCATTGTCTTCTTTGTTGTTTATTATAATAGAAATCTATTGGAATTGGCTGAGTGTGCTTGCAAAGTTTGGTTTACCATTTATGAATTGAAATAAAGGCAAGTATATATTAATTTAATACGCATAACATGTTATCAGAAAAGTTTTATTAGAAATATTTAGTAATATAAAACTTCGATTAAGAGAGAGAGAATACAATGCACATTTACTCTTCTCATAACAGTATGCGATAAGATCCGAGTCTTTACAATTCAATCTTAAATAAAATCTTCAAATATTGAAGTAAACAATATGTTGGTGAATAGATATTTCAAATTATCATTTCAATAAATTCACTGAATATTTATATTATTATTCTTTCGGCAACCGTGATAGAGAAAACTTTATGAAAATATATTTTCTTCGACGTATTCTCTTTTCGATTGAGTTATATGTTTTGCATTATCTTCTTATAAGATGGTCGATATTTTATCAGATCGCATACCTTCTGAATGTGTTGGGTCAATAATCTTAGCCGAACACATTCTCGACTTGCCTCGTGTATATCAATTATTTCTACATGATTTATATAGACATCAAATAATATTTGAAGATCTAAAGATTACGATGATCTTATAACACTAAGGCAATACTTTTGGATCAACTAAGATATGTTGCTTCTAAACTAAGATAGAATGATTATGGACCAAGATATCATTATAAGAAAATGCACTTTTAGTAACAGTGCAGGTGGTTACTAAAAGCAATTTCTTGAATTTACATTGGTTTAAACTTTTTTATTCAATTAGATACCTCAACTAAATTATTTGATTCAATTTAACACCTAAACTTTATGATTCACATTGGTTTAAATAAGGGCTTTGTAACTATCAATTTGGAACAAAAAACTATGTTGTGAATTTAAAAAGTTAAATGCAAGTATCTTATTAGAGATTAAAAAGAAAATTCAACCATTTTATGAAGTCACCGATCTTGCATTGCATACTTCAAAGTTCCAACATAGACACAGGTGAAGTTCAATGTTTAAAGACCAACAACTGCATAAACCTCAATAGAAAACTTAAAAATACAAAGAAACTCATCAGACCTGTTGTGGCCTTGCTGGGAGCAGATTCCGACATTCGACGCGGAATACAGTCTCAGTACTCCCACTTCTTCATTTCCATACCATCTGGAGGACTTCCTTCGACCTTCTTTGCACCAACTTCTTTCCAGTTTGTTGAAAGCACTGTCCCATTTGATTCCACCTACAATATTCCCGTGGTAGATGAACTATTAATGCAACCATATTCTATCGATTAATTAATCCAATTACCAAAGTTACGCATTTATTCGAGGGACAAAATTAAACGATAAAATCTTACAAAAGATTTTTGCATGGCTCTCCTTGCATCCTCATCAGCACCCTGATAAATGTCCCGGAAAAACTTATTCAAAGCCGCGTCACCATCAAGTTTTTCATCTTTCTCCTGAAAGCCAGCCACAGAGAGTTGTGTGTTAATCATTGTATTCCACAACTTCCTCTAGGCAAGTTGTCCCAACAACACAATCAAAAGAAAGGGAAAAAAGTTAGCCTCATAATCGATGTACCTCCTTCTTTACTTGAGCTTCAATTTTATCCCAATCAACCCTCTTTGGTTTGGAGGATGGATACACCGGTCTTTGATTTGCAGTTACTGCAAAAAGTAGTTTATGACAAGAACCCCAAGTGCACAGTGAGAATAAACATTTATATTTCACACTACCATTACATATAGTTTCAAAACAGCAAAAACATACACACAGCATCATATAAATGCATAAAAGTGCGCAGGGAGAATTATCAAATCAGTACAGGATGTAAAATCAAGTCAGTACATGATGCAACATATTTCAACTTACCTGAAGATGGATTAACCCTTTGGGGAACAGCAACTTCCCTGCTGAATTCAAGGGATGCCCATTGAATTGGTTCAGCTTTCACCAGCCGAATCTCAATTTTGGTTGACAAAACATCATATCTGCACCTATCAGGTATTATCTGTTCAAACAGAGCAAAACACAACAGAAAAATGAGCATCTAAAGAAGAGATGCAATCACATAGTAAAAGATTCAGCAAAAGACTTGTTTATCACTACTAAACAGAAAACCAATCCACACTTCAGCATAATATTTTCAATATCAGCAGTATTATCTACAGAGTTCTAAGTTTGGACATTTGCCAAGAAATAAAATGCCAACCATATTTAACGTACCATTCTTACAAACCAGAATTGTAATAACATGAATTTCATGTAATACCTTTCCAAATAATCGAGGTTGGAAATGATACGCATCTTTACCAGGAACTTCAATGGCAACACTTAGCTGCAGACGCACAAAGAAAGATAGAATATCTTTAGCCTATATACTCATTAACATCTCAAGGACAGAAACACAAAAAAAGAATGGAGGGCAACCGGGAGACAGATGAGTTGGTATGCAACTTACGATTTGTTCACCATAATCTACTTTAACACATTCTCGCGGTATTCCCTTGGCAAATATTGTGACAACCACTTCCTCTGGTTTCTGATAAAATGAATGCTTCACTTCTTTGGCAGGTACAGCATTTGTTGCCATCTGAACAGGCACATCCTTCACTGGCTCGACTTCTTTTTGAGGTACGCCATTTGTTGCCACCTCTTTCAGCACCTGCTTTGGTAGCTCGACTTGTTCCTCTACACAAACGCACAAATTCATAAACAAGGAAGGCTCTTAAGACATCATAGGTAATTTTTAAATATATAGGAATTTTGGTGGCAAAACTCTTTCCTTCCTAAAAGTACTTATTAAAAGCTAAGTACCAGCAATGCGCTCTTCACATTCTTTGATCAACTTAGAAAATCTTGAATCTCCCGGCGCCAAAGCAGCACCACTCTCCAATGCAGCCTTAGCAGTTTGGTACTCCTCAAGCTTCATACATGCCGTACTGCAGACATTGTTTAAAATATTATTTACAGACCCAACATAATTGCCTCGGAAGCAATAAACAAGATAGGGAAAAGCTATGAACATGCAATTTAGCTATTTATAATAACTATAATTTTCTATAATAATCACCATCAGAAGAATTCAGGAATTCCTTCAGGCTTCAGCTACTATTTAATTTTCGTGCGATTAAAACAGTTAATTTTCGTGCAGATCGTGAAAGGAAATGAATAAAAAACAGCAACATCCATACTATTTATGTATAGACAACAAAAGCATTGGAAAAAAACGAAAGAATTCAGGAAAATCTACTGACGCTTTACGCAAGTAAGCTTTAGACATGGACGGATCCAACTCAATTGCTTTGTTTGCATCCGCGACAGCCTCTGCGAAAACGAAAATTACAAAAAAAAAATCACAATTAATCTTTTCAAAAATACATATAGTAAGATATAATGGGAAAAACAAAGGAGATACCAGGTAGGTTATTGAGTTTGATGTTGGCTTGAGCGCGGTCAGCGTAGAGTTCAGCGCTTTTAGGGTTGAGTTGAACTGCTTGAGAGTAAAGATCAAGCGCAACTTCGAAGTGATCGTCGATGAAGGCTTCTTTGGCTTTGGTTTCCAAATCAGACGCCATTGCAAGGGCAAAGCAAGAGAAGAGAAGAAGAAGAAACAGAAGAGTCTAGAAGAGAGACGAGAGAGGATTTTGATCTGCGAGAATTGTGAGAGAAGACAATTGACTTTATGTTTTGAGTCTGAGGTAAACTGATAAAATAAGTAGAGGATTAGATATTAAAATAGATTAAAATTGATAATTTAAAGTATTAAATAATTATTTTATTTAAAATTTAATTTAATTTTTAAGTTAATCGAATATTAATTAATATTTTAAGTAAATACTAAATTTTTAATATTATATGTTATGGTTACAATAATAATAATATATATATATATATATATATATATATATATATATATATATTATGTTTGCATAAGCATAAACTCTTGTACATATTATAAATAATGTTTTTTTAAATTAGGGTAAATTATCTTTAAAAGATTCGAATTTAAATAATTATATATGTAAAGTATATACAAATTATCATTAAGTTAAAAAATTGAATATTTATTATCTTATAATCATTGAGATTATTTAAAATAAAAAAATAAATTAATATTAATTAAAAAATTAAAAATGTTTTAAGTATATTTTTTTCATTTAAATTTATTATATGATTAAAATAATTTTATTATTTAAAAACAAATAAACCTTGAACGAAGTAGTAATGTGAACATTATCCTTAAACAAGTTTAATTCTCATTCTATGTAAATTTTGTGGATAAATTATAATTTTGGTCATTGGATTTTATCATTATATCTATTTTGGTTACCCAACTATAAAAGTTTCTAATTTTATTATCTAACTTTAGAATTTCATTCTTTTTGGTCATCCAACCGTTAATGTCTAACATCATTTAAAAAAATTTGGATAAATTTATGCAAAATGCCCTTGAACCTTTTCTTTCAAACCCATATTTTTGGACTCCCTTTGATTCACAAGTGCTAGAGTATTTTTATCCAAATTCAAATTACGGGGATATCAAGGAGAAGAAAAATGGCGATTCCAGGATGATCAGATATTGAAGATTACATATAGGATCAAGATAACGTCGACGCTTTGATTTGAGTTTTATCGATTTCGATAAAATTTTAAGGCAACCAAAATTAATAAGAAAGAAGGGAGTAAAAAGACTATTTTAGTACTGATTACATCGTAGATAATGATCTACTACGATCGAACAATGATGGAGAAGGATGTTGACCAATAAATAAAAATTAAATTCAAAGTTGGATAGTAAAATAATAATTTTTTTAAAGTTGGATGATCAAAAACATAAATACAATAACAATGAGTTGACTAAATGTATAATTTACCCTAAACTTTATCTATAATATATTTTGTACAAAGTTTCTTATATATAGTTATAGGTGTAATCTAATTATTATTTGTATAGGAATTATCTAATTATTATTTGTCCCCACGTAACGGTTTAACTATTTTTTTATTTAATTGCATCATATGTCCCCAAACTATCATTCTCATTTTAAATCGATCCTTAAATTTTTTTAATATTTCAATTTTATCCTTAAACTATGATTCTATTTCTAAATTAGTCCTTAAACTTTTAAACAATCTAATTTTATCCCTAAATTATGAACATCTTTCTAATTGACCCCCAAACTTCTAAATTTTCTAATTTCATCCCCAAATTCATCTAAATATGTAATTAGTTTCGGTCATAGTTTAACCTAAATTTTGTTTTTTTCTCAGACATATAATAATATAACTTGACCTAATAATTTTATTTACAAGGGATGTGAATAGTATATACATGTAGTTTGAGATAAAATTGGAATGTTAAAAAATTTTGAGGATCAATTTAGAATGAAGGTCATAGTTTGAGGATGAAATTGAAATGTTCAAAATGTTGAGGATTGATTTAAAATGATAGTCATAGTTTAAGGATGAAATTGGAATATTTAAAAATTTAGGGCTTAATTTAAAATCATACTTTAAGGATATGTGACACAATTAACTCTTTTTATATAAGAATTACCTCATTATTATTGAAGCATATGATTGGATCAAAACAATAGTTTTTTTTTTAAACCCACTTATATTTACTCTATTAATCAATTAATTTGAACAAATATTACTTATATTACCACTTTGTTTGAATCAACCCTTGTTGGTTCAAGTGGTAAGTAACTTAATATTTCTTAAGCAATGTCTCGAGTTCGAGTCATTGTGTATGCAGAAAATCTACGGAGAGACTCACCCATCAAAGATAGGTCTGCGACATGAGTCGATCCGAATCAGTCAAAAATAAAACCTTGAAACCGAGTAGACAACGAAAAAAATTTACCACTTTATTCGAATAATTTTTGGGCTTTCGTTGAGAACCCAATTCCTCTGGCGATGGGGCAAGTGTCTTGCATGCCTATCAAACTTGGAATTTGTTAATTTCCCTAGACATATTAAATTGTGATTATTAATGAATTATTTAAAATAAAAGATTTCAGATTTTATGTGATGTGAATCAAAATTTAGATGATAATTTTATAATTTTATATTATCGATTTAATGCGAATCAATGCATAATTTCATTAAAATAATTGATAAAAATGTATTTATTATTTATTAAAAAATAAATATATAATTATCTTCAAATTTCAACTCCATTTTTTATTAAATACAAAACTTCAATTCTTGTATATTCTAAGCTTCTAGGGAAGGCAAAGCTTAAAAAAGGTTTTAAACCTCCCTTTACCCTTTTTTTTATCTAATATTGCCCCACATTATTTATTAATCTTTATGATTTTTAAAAAAGTTTATAATTACTAATATTCCTTATTAATTAATTAATTTAGGAGCTCATCATGTTTTCAAACTCTCTTATTTTTTATCCTCCCAATAATATTAATTTTAAAATTTATATATCTATTAATATTATACATGTAATTTAAATCTAAAACTCATTTTTTTAGAAAATAAAATCTGACATACGATAATTCACAATGTGACATATAAATTAAGGGAAACTTTTGCCCTTGCAGTAGACTCAATTTATCACTTACGTCTTTATCGTATTTTCGACTCAATTTAGCTCTCGAAGTTACTCAATTGCATCATTCTATACCCTACCTCTAACTTAAAACTTTAAATTATAAACATAAACCATAACCCCATAACTTTTAAACCTTAAATCATAAACCCCAAATCATATCTTAAGATTTATAATTTAGAGTTTTAAGTTAATATTAGGATATAGAATGATACAATTATACAATTTTTAGGATTAAATTGATACCAAAATACGATAAGAACGAAAATAATAAATTAAGTCTATTACAGGAAATATGACCCTAAATCCTCTAAATCAAATACATAGAAGTATCATTGGTCTTGAAACAGAAAAAGTTTGGTCTGATCTATCGTATAGTTTCTTTATTTGAACCGATTTCTTATTCAATCAAATAAAGATAGGATAAACTATGCATTTAGTAATTAAACTATCAGTTTTAGTCCATTTTAGTGCTTAACTTTCAATTTTTTTCAAAACTATACATAACATTTACTTTTTATTTCATTTTAATATCCCGCCGTTAAAAACTTAACGCATTTAGTACCTAAACTATAAGTTTTAATCCGTTTTAATACCTAAACTTTTAAATTTTTTTCAAAACTCAACGTTAAATTTTGAATGAGGTACAAAAATGAAACAAAAAACTAAACAAAAACTAAAGTTTTTAATAGGGATGGACATGGGTTGGGTCGGGTCAGATTTTCGGTCCACCAAAGCCGACCCAAAAAATACACCCTTCCATCCGACCCCGGCCCAACTCAAAATAATATATCTATTAAAAAAATATTCAATAAAACTAGAGATTTAATTGAAAGAAAATAATATATAGAGTATTATTACAATTATCACTAAATATACAAGATAAAATTACAATATTTTTTTAGTCGAGTATTTTTCACCCTAAACCCGAACATAACTTAAAAAAAACCCAACCCGAACCCAAATTTTTTTAAAAAAAATCTAACACGATCGAGTCAGGTCAAAATCCATCAAGTTCGAGTCCTATGCCCATCCCTAGTTTTTTTAACGACGGGACTAAAATGAAATAAAAACTGAACTTTATGTATAACTTAAAAGAAATTAAAAGTTTAGATACTAAAACGGGCCAAAATCAATTTAAAACGGAAAGTGTAATTTACCCATAAAGATATAAAAAGATCGTTCCGGAAGATATACATTGATGATAAAATACCTTCTTTCTCAAGGAACCTTATTTGACAAAGCAAATATTTTCTTGTAAAGTTTACTTGTGTCTCAAGCCCCACAAAGAATGTAGGATGCCTATTTAAATGTTGTTAGTATCTAATACAACTTCCTTTGACTTATAAAATAAGACTCATCAACTCAAATTACTCATATCTTTTTGACCCGACTCGATCAAATACTCACCCCTAGCGATATCGACGGTCAACTCTTTTATAGCAAAGGTACAAAACAAAGCACATGATAGAGATACTATCATATCAAAGAACAATGCTCATTATTTTGTAGTACAAAAATGTATCCTGTGTAGTCTAATTTACTCTTGCAGATGACAGATTCGACCATCGGAATCCATTTACTATTGCAAATAATGTTTTTAATTCGAAATCAGATTTCGAAATGAACGAATTAAAAACTTACAGCATATTATAGAAACCAGAGAGATCTAACTTGTTATCCCTACCCTTATATCAAACTAATCTTAAATAAAACTAAAAGATGAGCCAAATACTGTCAAGAGTTGGTGCTGATCAGAACAATAACTTGACTTTTCACATTTACATTGCATGCTGAAGCTGAAGGTCAAAGGCAAGGGCAATAATTATACAGAGAAAGGGAATCGATTTCCAAAATTACACGCCATTTCAATAATACTAGTACTACCTTGATCGCCTACACCCCTTTACCTAATGTACTTGCATACACAGCTCCATGCGAATGCATCGTACCTACTCAGACGTACAAAACAAGGGGGAAAATGAATTGGTAACATCATAGATAACAAGGTTCTTTCAGTTGTTACCTCCTCGAACCCATCGTGCTGAGCCTGTCTTTGCCAACCCCGAAAAATAATCACCCACATTTGCAACGAATAGTGGATCTCTATCTTCAACTTCTACCTCATTAACATCACTATCAGTGCCATTTCCCTGATCTGTTTTCTCCAATTCTCGGGTTAGATCTTCCATAGTCTTCTTCAAACTAGATTTGCTCACCTGCCTGTCTCCTGTTGAGATCCCAACCATTGTAACCTTTGGAAGAAAGGGGTTGGATTCTAAGTTCTGCTTTTTGCATTCGTTTGATGCACTCTCCTCTCTGAAAGGACAAAAGAAGATGAATTTAACAGGTAAGATTAAAATAACGAAGACAGTTATATGAACAATAATTGTGGTGGCACCTTGCATCAGATATCTGTTTAGGTATCCGTCGTTTCAACCATGGAAACCGGAAATCTTGTCTCTGCCCATTCTCAGTTTTAAGATCATCGACTGATTTGATCTCTGAAGTGCCATTATCTGTTTCAGAATTGGAAAAGCATGTGGCTAACTCAGAGGCTCTTAGAAAAGAAGCAGCACTCCTGCAACAGGGAAAAAATTCCTTCAGAACTGCTTACTTTTGATGTAATTAGGAGGACAAGTTTACTGATCATGAAAATGAAATATAAGACCTGTTTACAATTGCAGAGCACATGAAAGATTGCAAATAATGCAATGCTTTGTTAACAGTAAAACTTTATTTAACCATGCAATGCTTTGTTAACAGTAAAACTTTATTTAACCATTCTAAAACCTCATCAAGGGACATGACTGGTTAATTTACTAAACAGTACATAAGTTCTATTTCGATGAAAATTTTTGGTTCAAGAAGTTAAGAAAAGCATACATCACTATTGTAAACACTTAACATCAATGAATGGAACTGATATATGGTTTACCTTCTCTCAAATGAATCAACCATATAAGGAAATTTTGGTTGAATGCCAGTGGCTCTCCGTAACCACCTATTGCCCAGGAGCACTTTGTCAACAGCATAGAGAAGTTGAATTTCAGCAGCCTTCGAAATGACACTTAGAGGTATGACAGGATGACCAACTTCATCCATAACTTCTTGAACCTGGGAGTTAAGGACAACACAGTCAAACAATTAACAACCCCATCATTACTGTTAAAAGAAAATAATGGACTAGGTGGATCCAACATTGTCTCCTATTTCTCTTGAAGGCCTATGTTGATGTTGGTTGTCCTTACGGTACTAATATGCAGTAGATTCTTTGACATCCATACAATTGAGTGGACAAAATAGATGAGAATCCCACATGATACCGGAAAATACTACTACAAATAAAGAAAAAAACTACATCTATTTCTCACAAGGCTCTAGAAATTGAAAATAGGGTAAAATTTGACTGAAAAGTGATAACAGTTTAACATTCCAGGATTTGACCCATCTCACAAAACACAATCTCTAAAATCCACTACATGGAGAATATTTCACAATGCAAATCTTAGGACTAGGAAGCCGCACCTCTGGAGGCTCCCACATGCCATCTCCAATTTCTTCAATCACTTCAGCTGCCAAATTATCATCAATTACATCCCGTCGACGTTGCATGTGGCGAGTTTGAATTAAAGCATCGAAGTGCTGATCAACAGAATCTTCAAGAATATTGTCCAGCATGTTTTTATCAAAGAAGTATGGAGTATACCTGATGAAAGGAACAGTGAGCTACACAAGCATCAAACTATACAAATTCCCATATGAGAAGCAGAGGGAACTCTGTGCAATAAAAATAAAAAACTTTTTGATTGACACAACAATGTGCAAAACACCATTTAATCCCATCTGTAGTAGCTATTGCAATATCCAAATTTTGAGCACCAAAAACAGGAACACCATCAACCTTTCTCCTTTCACCATTTTGTGGGATTGTCTTAAGAAGCTTGTTGGCTGCCTTTACCTGAGAGAGCAGAAAATGTCCTCTTAAAGAAAATGTCAATGTATCATAAAGGCCAAACTGAAATAAATTCGTACCTGTTTCTCATTAGGAACAAACTGAAATAAGTGAGGCTTTTCCTGGACAAGAATATAATGATAATATTAAAATTAGGTTTTGGAACAACACCAGAAAATGTAAAGCCAATACACGCACAATATGCAAAATCATATATTATACGGAAAAGACATGCAAAATCATACATTATAACAATCCACTCAACCAAAGCAATCCAATTCTTCAGGATGACTACATAAATAATGTTCCCTAATGTGCACCATATAAGGGTAAAACCTTCATAAATTTCCCACAGGATTATTCATTCGCCGGGACATTCTTATTTCACATTTTACATGTAGTAAAACTGTAAAAGTTTAAAATTAGACGGTACAGCAAGGAACAAAATGAGAAATCAGAAGAAAAATGGTTATTGCATACACTAAGATGCTGTAGAGAATGCTAAAGAAATACCGTATATGATTCAATAGCATCTATATTCATCTCATTTTTACTCCCACAACATTAATTTAAGTACTTACTTAATAATCAAGCAACATTTTGGATTCAATACACATGAAGATGCTTCAATTGAATTGGTTTAGCTTTACCTTGAAATGCTCATAAGCTAAATCAAGACGACAAGCACCCACGACTCCACTAGGAATATTAAGGTGTTTGACATAATTAACTAAGGAAAAAAAAGGTCCTGTTAGATTGCAATTTTTTTTCACTTCTTCCAACCAAAAGAAGCTTGGCTAAACTGATTACCAAAGCTAAGAAGCAAAAACCATACCTGCATCACCTAAATCCATGAAAAAACGAAAAACAGGGCCATTCCTTTCGCTCTTTGTAATGTTTGCAAATATCTTCTTAAGCCACTGCGGAGTTCTATACATCAATACAGACAAAAGACTTCAAATTATACGATAGAAAACCAATCTTTTATAAGCTTTTGCAGTACTAAATTCCTTTTTTTTAGATTTCTTTCCAATCCTATCAATTCTAAAACGAAGAGTGAATTTTAAAAATAGATGGATGAATTAAGGTAAAGAATAAAGACCTCTTAGAAATGAAGGGAATATCGAAGTGAGTTGAAACAGCCATAAGACCAGTGCCGGAGAGATCACACATGCTAAACACTTGGCCAACGAAGGCGGGGCCACCACTTTTTCCATTGGAAGTGACTCCCGAAACCCTGACTTTTGACGAGAAGCCGGGGCTGGACTCGGCCGAAGACACGCCCTTGATTGTGGACTTGGAAGAGACGGAGTCATGTTGAGTTGACTCGAAGGGCGAGGGAGTGAGGTGGAGCGGAGAGTCGGCTAACAGAAAAGGAGGAACGGAGATTTTGGAAGGTGGAAAGTACGGTGTCGTTTTGGGATTGGACATGACAGAGAAGATAGAGGCGGCGGTTGTGTTGAGGAATTTGGTAAGGCCGCAGTGGAGTTGGTGGTGCGGTGGCTCCGCCGGTGAGACCATCGTTTTGGTTTTGGCCGACTTTTCTATTCGTCGATTGGGTCGATAATATCGTTCAAATAGAGATAAAATAGAGCGCCTCCCCGACCTTTGTTAGTGGAACGATACAATTTGCAATTTTCGTTTTGGGTAAATTAAATAAATGATCACTAATATTTAATTGATATTTTTGGCTAAAATTTCAAAACTAACAATTTAAGTCACTAATGTTATCTATTTATAACAAACTGATCACTCGACATAAACAATCGTTTGCGTTAGTGACAACAAAGATGGACCAAACCTAGCCTGATATAACAATTCTTTTACTAACAAGATCGCTGGGTTCGTGCATTGATACAAAATATTATGACATGAGAAAGGGTTGTTCATCCTTACCATATAGCTTTGCTTAACTTGCTCCTGAGATCGAATATATCGCACTTAACTATCAAGGCCAAGGCTTACCGGATATAAATAAAACTATCAATCGATCAAGAAGTTATATGTTTAGCTTCAGCAGTGTATGTATTTGAACTTGCTTCAGCTTCCTCATGCTTTAAAATCGAATTTTTTCCTGTTTCCTTGTCCTCAACGACACCTTTCGCAACTACATCAAATTCCTGCAAACTCGAATTCTTTCTAGCTTCATTGTCTCCGATGACTGACTGCCGGAGGTATTCCACGAAAACTGCTCTCAATCCTGGCGTTGGGGGCAGCCTACTACCCTATCTCCCCTTACCCCATTGCATATGAGAATAGGATTTTGTTGTTGTTGTTGTTCATTGTCTCCGGTGACACCTTTGGCAAATTTATCATGTTCTTGTAGCTGCTTTACTTCATTTGAACTTGCTTCCACTTCCTCGTACTCTAAACTCGATTTGTCTTCAGTTTCCTTGTCCTCGGCGATGCCTTTGGCGGTTGTATCGAATTCCTGTAGCTGCTTTACTCGGATCTGACACGCTTTCCTTTGATGTACCGATATTCCCATTTTGGTGGTGGATATTTCTTCTTTAATTTGTCATACTTGTCCCACATGCCCAACTTCTGGAAGACATTTCCAACCATTGAAACAACTGATATACTCGGTTTGACACCAAGCTCTTCCATGTCAGCAAATACCTGTAAAAGTATCATGTTGGTTACGTTAGTAGGCGTGGAGAAGCTTAGAGCATCCATCACTCACTCATAGGGCAATTACTAAGGCTCTGCTTTTTTATCGTTTTTTTATCCTTTTTTTTATCTATAGATGATTTAAAGCCAAGCTGATTATCATTTTTTTATCGATAGATGATTTAAAACACGAGGAAATGAAGACTGCCGTGTATCGTATTCACAAAGAAAAGCACCGAAACAGGATGGTTAAAGATTTGAAGTTACTGGAGCACTGGAGTTTGCACCCTAAGGTGTTCCAATACCACATTATTTTCATTTTTCACAAAGCATCTCAACTCGGCTACATGGAGTTCCTAAGGGAATGGAAAACCGGACTTGAGTTCAGAATTTAATGCAGTAAATTGCTTACGAGAAATCAATGGAAGATAGAAGAAACGCCCAACCTACACATTCAAATTACGATAAAGAACATCATTGTAACAAGAGTCTCGAATGAGATGACAATACAATACCTCAAACATCTTCTCGTGCATGTCCTTGTGGTAATACATCGAAATCATTTTATCAAAGAAAATACACGGGGTGCCTTCTAAATTATCAGAAAACAGTTTGGCCCACAGCTATTCAGCCTCTTCCAGTCTCCCGTCCTCCGCTAAAGCATTCAGTAAGGTGAAATATGTTCCCATCGTTCTTCCTTGACCTTTGCTTAGCATCCACTTTATCACCTGCAAGTGCACTTCCCTAGACTTACCGCTTTCGAATGTAGAAAGCCGAAACCAAAGATAAAATTAAAGAGAAGTTAAAAAAACAAACTGAAATGAATGATGGTTACCTGAATTATTCTCTTCCACTCTTTTCATTCTGAAGAATCTTCAATGCTTTCTTCACTATAATTAGAGGGAACTCTAGTTCCCATGCGATAAAGGAGTCGACAGCCCCGTACACTTCTTCCTTGACATTTGATAATTGCTTTACCTAAACAAGCACAAGCAACAATAGATTACTACCATCTCAAGATTGCTATAAAACGAATTGAATTTACATCGATCGTTACACACACGAGTTTACTCTACCACGAAACTCAGCTTAACTCGATCAATCAAGAATCAGCTAACAACTAGGATATCTGTTCTGCTAACATTTGATTTGGAAAAGCAAAGAACTCACACAATCAACAAGCTTTACTGATTTTGAGACAGTCCCAATTCTCTTCTTCGATTTCCATTCTCGAGGATATCGAGGTCTTGGACCTTTAGCAGCGCATACCTGAAAATCATTGAATTTTAAAAGATTTCACAGTTCATACATCTTTCATGTAATACCGAAGGTTCAACTGAAAACATACCACGGTACTCCTAGGTCTCTGGGTTATTTTAACTGATTCCAATCTTTTAGTAATAAGTGGCAGAGCATATCTACAACAAAGCATCCTGGTATAATGCAAAACCAGAAAGAAAATGAAGAAATATTGATTAATTATGGTAGCACTATTGATCGTTAGCTAAAAAATTATTCCATCATTTTCTCAGCAACCAAACACGGTTACTCCAATGAGACGGAAACTGGCAGAGGCGTACCACCGGCTTGAGAGTTCGAGGGTTTAAGAGACAGCAGATTTCAATGTTGTAGTCCTGGGAGATGGCTTCAATGCCTTCGATATTGAAGATATTTTCCCCCCTTGCTCCGATTTTCTTTTTCTTCTGATTTTCTACTTGTCCAAACAAGGTGTCATCTAAGTTCATAGCTTATTTGTCTTCTCGGCAAAATCAGAGCAATAATGCTCTTAAAATAAATAGGGTAAACTATGCATTTAGTATTTAAACTATCAGTTTTAATCTGTTTTAGTATTTAAACTTTATTTTTTTCAAAACCATACCTAATGTTTAGTTTTTGTTTCATTTTAGTATCCGCCGTTGAAAACTTAATACTTTTAGTATCTAAACTATCAATTTTAATCCGTTTTAGTACCTAAACTTTTATTTTTTTTCAAAACTTAACGCTAATTTTTGAATGGGGTACTAAAATGAAACAAATACTAAACTTTAGGTATGTTTTGAAAAGAAATTGAAAGTTTAGGTATTAAATTAACCAAAACTGATAATTTAAGTACTAAACGTATAATTTACCCAAAAAATATTGAGAAATGGGTATGAGTTTTTTTCCGATTAATCAAAATTGATTATAAGTAGTAGTATTTGTTTTAAAAACTCCCAATCATTTGATAATGAACATTTAAATACTCTATAATTGTTGATCGGAGAAACCTTATCAGGAATCCTTATATGGCTCTTATTTTGGATTTTTTAGGAGGATTGAAAAAAATTCAAAAGACCAGAGATCAAATTTAAAATTAACAATTTTGTTAACGTGTCATGTTAACAATCTAACGGGAGTTATAATTCAAATAACCAGAATGTCATAACTCGAAAATGTAAGTGATCAAAATATCATAACTAGAAAACATAAGCGATCAAAACCAATATTTTCAAAACTTGTGGCCGAAACAGAACAGACCGAAAATAAAAAGGCACCATATATGTAGTTTACCCAAATACCAGATTAAATATACCTCATCTCCTCATTTGCTCTTCGAAGGAGAACGATCGCTTTGTGCATCAGCTATGGCCGTCCCATTCCCCGATGCTGCAAATTTCTACTCCTCCTCCGTACACCGTAACTCGCCTCTCTGTACTTCACCTTGCCGCTTTTACATTTTCGGAAGTCATGAAGTAGCTCAACTCAACTGAGTCGCAACGAACAACTCGATATGTTTAGCTTTTATTTAAGTTTTCTTGCATTTTCTTTACCGCCAAACAGAGACTTAATCATTTTTGTGTGTGTATGTTGTGCATTTTATTGTTTGTGTTGGTTCTCGTCCTACATGCAGCTCGGGGAGGTTACTGGTTGCCATGTCACCTATCGCCGGCTATTTCGCTGTGGCAGCTTTAGCGTAACTTGGTACTAAGTTTAATTCATCTTTTTCCTTTAAGTTTTTCCATCTCTCCTACTGAGCACACCAATGGAAAAAAGTTTTTTTTCTATCTCTCTACTTTTCTACTCCTTCAATTTTCCATCTTTTCGATTAGCTTTCCATCTTGCTAAGTGAACCTAAGAGTTGTTTGCAGGAATGCATTTGGAAGACTAAATAGGGCTTCCCTTTTGAGAAGGATAAAAAATAACATTCGAGCAACAACAGAGCATTTAGGTTCAGCATCTGATCCTGCAAAGCTGAATGGACGGCCCCGTTACCATCCGTTTGAGGAGATTGGTGAGTCTACGTCTAAAAATAGTGGTGATGCTACACTCACAGCTGCAGAAACCTCTAGGACGATCATTGAGGTATTGCATTCAGTGTTGTTTATGGAATCAGCTTCCATACAAACGACTTTAATGTGAATAACATGTTTGTTTATTGTATCCATGTTATTGTTGAAGAATAATTAGATACCTTTATGCATTTTGGTTTGGTCAACATTTGAAATATGTACTCTTATGCTTCTGGTTCCCGCTTTTCAGCCTGTTCGAACGGCTAATGTTGGCTGTAGTATGTCATTTTCAGGTGAATAGTAAAGCAACAGTAATGTTTTCGGGGATGTTTAATGGTGACGTTCATGAAAATATTATGTGGCCAGACTTGCCTTATGCAACTGATGAACATGGAAGTAAGTTGACTATTCCTATTTCAAGTATTTGAGCCTGACAGCCTCGGTTGGCAAATTGAAGTTGTTCTCTGATGCCTTACAGATGTATACCTGCAAGTGAAAAGTGATGAAGATATTTTGCAAAGTCTTACTGTAGAAAATAACTTTGTGGTATGCAACATTTTTCTTTCTGACAATTTTGCTAATGCATGACTTGCATGCATGTCTCAAGACGGTATTTAGATCTTGCATGCAGTTTCCACTTTTCCAATTTGACATTAGCGTTGTTTGTCCATGTAACCCGTTCATAATTGATTCTTGAGATATGTATTGCATGTTCTATTTAATATCCTTGATCTGACGTTTTAATGTCTGTTATCATTCTAACTTGCAAATGGGCCTCGTTTTGAATTGAGTTGCTGTCCAACATGAAAAAATGTTTTTAAACGAGTCTCCGTTTTTTTTACTGTGTCCTTAAAGCTTATTTAGTTCATATGATGCATCAAGTCATTGTAGGATTTGACACTACAGAAATCATGAAGGAAATCGAGTTATCAAGTCCATCAGAAGTTGATTTGGAATTGAGGAAATTGATGATGATATTGATATTGAAGATGAAGATGATGATGATGATGATGATGATGAAGATTATGATGAGGTTTGAACTATTCCCTTCTCCCTTTTCCTTCCAAATTAACTTATGCATGAATTTAGCTTTTCCTTTCAAATATTAATTTGTATTTTGTAGGAGTGGATTTCTGCTTTTGAAGATGAAGATGATCAAGATGATTCTGATGGGACTCTTGGAGACTGGGCGAAATTGGAGACAATGCGTTCATCTCATCCTATGTACTTTGCCAAAAGTTAAGCGAGGTAATGGCACTTTATTTTTAATGCTAAAAGCAAATTAGCCTGGAAACAGAGTTAGGAAGACAACTTTAAGTAAAATCCAAGTTCATAGCTATATAACATTTACTAACACGTATGAAGTTTAAGTGCCTTACCCCAAGGTTGCGTCCATATCTACAAGAAAAGATCTTTTCTGCATGGTGTGTTACAACTTACAACAATGTTTTCCCAATGGGTTACTCTTAATTTATGTTTTGCAGGTTGCATCAGATGATCCTATAGACTGGATGGAACAACCTTCGGATGGTTTAGCAATCCAAGGTCTTCTAAGGCCTGCCTTCACTGATGAACATTCTGAAATTCAGAAGCATATATCTATCAACCAGTCTTGTAGTTCTGATACAAGTTTGGCTGAGAGTTGAGGGAGACAAAGTAGAAGAGTTTGGCATAATTAATGGTCACGGAAATGAATCAGAATTACCAGGAGATAGTTTAACAACAGAATCAGAGAAAAAATGAAATCTCAACAAACAGGTCTTCACTTTACAAATTAGAGATGATCAAAATTCAGCTAATCACAGCTCATGGCCATCAGGTTTGTAAAAGGATTTCATTTTCAGGGGTTCTCATTCCTTTCTCCGGTAATTTTGGTTTTATTAACGTATGAGCATCTGCATTACGTGTGTGAGAGTTATTAGCAAAGGTTATGGTCTCATATTTCTCAGGTCGAATAGCCATGCTGGTAGTTGATGTGCATTGTATATCGCAGTAATCAAGATACATTCTTTTATAAATATATGATCATTCCTTGGAATGATTTAAGTGCTACTAAGTCCAGCATTTTGTCAAGATGGTATAAGTTACCCCCAACGATAGGTTGAGAGCAACTTCCGTAGAAGACCTCCGGCAATTATGAATTGCCCACAGTGGGACTCGATTCCACAACCACAAGGTTAAGAGCCTTGCGCTCTACCAACTGAGCTGGACATACAATTCGATCGATGATTATTTATATTCATAGTAATTTACTCTAAATAATATACAATTACAAATTGCAATTCAACGTTCACGAAAGACAATAATTAATCCAAAAATAAAATTGACCCAATCTGAACTCAATTCGTATCTTATAAAGATCCCACTTGAATTTTATATGCCAATGATGTGACCCGATCTAAACGAGATCTGCCTGAAGTCTATCTGAATCTGAATTAACTTGATCTTTAACTGCTCCAGACCTGAACTGTTTTGACATGAACTGACATCAATCCGAATTGAAAGTAACTCGACCTGAACCCGAACTAAATCTGATGTCAAATCAACCTGAAAATGACCTGACCTGATTTGATCTGACCCGACCTCATCTGAATTGAAGCATCAAATTAACCTGACTTGACATGTATCCGATTTTACCCAACTTGATAGGATCTGACTGAAATCTTAATGGTCACCTAATTTTCCATAAATGGAAAAGGCAGAATCACAAAACATCATGTAACTCTTACCCATTGCAAACCCTTAAAGTAGCTCATTTTTAGTTTAAAAAGCTGATAGGTTGGTTGAACCGATAAGTAGTTTGATATCGTTAAAGCAAGTCTCGAGTTCAAGTCTTTGTGTATGTAGAAAATCCCCGATAAAAGACTCACCCATCAAAATCAAATAACTGATGTGGGCCAATCCAGATTAATCAAGACGAAACTCTAGAATCGAGTTAGAGAAAAAAGCCATTGTTTTAATTATTTCTAGGTTTCCATATGCTCATTTGTTTGATTAAGAATCGAGTTAGAGAAAAAGCCATTGTTTTAATTATTTCTAGGTTTCCATATGCTCATTTGTTTTGATTAAGAATGTAAGGATGTGTCACATCATTACCTGAAATCATCCATATTTACCATAAGTTTATGGGTTAAGTGTTTTCACCTGTTCTCCCACCTGCTCCTCTCCACATCTATTTGGCATTTAGGATAACAATTAATAATCACACAAATAAAGTTCTTGTGGCGTCATTACCCACAAATTATGTAACAAATTAATGGCTCGAATGGCACAAATCATGTTTTGCTGACACCATTTATAAATGGCACACCCACTATGTTGGATCCAAAAAAAATGTATACCAACAGTACATGTAAACAAAAATAGTGATCAACGGGGTTGATTCAAGTGATAAGCAGTTTGATATCACTTAAGTAAAGTTTTAGGTTCGAATCCTTATGTATGTAGAAAATCCTTGCGGGAGACTCACCTATTAAAACTAGGTGTACGACCCGTATTGGTCCGGATTAGTCAGAACGAAATCTTGAAACTGGAGTCCATAAAAGAAACAAAACAAAAGTAGTGGCTTAAACACATAGGTGATTAATCAACTAAGTTTTATACTCGAATATTTTTTTTAAAAATAAATTCTTTTTAAATTTTAGTGATTGAATTGGTGACTAAATTTAGTAAGGACTTGTTTTAGTAATGGATTGTTTTTAGGTGATTTGTTTTTGTTTTGTTTTTTTTAATAAAATCACTTTTACATAGAATAGAGATCTCTATCGATCGGATTAGATCGAGATTCGATTTTGAAAATTTTCAAACCCGAGATCGGTCCCAACCATCTCACAGCAAATTATCAATTTGTAATAAATAATAATATGGCTTAAGGCTCCCTTTTGCTACGGTAGTAAATTCAATTTATCATTTTTTCTCCTATCATGTTTTCGCATCAATTTAGTCCTCAAAGTTGTTTAATTGCATGATTTTATACACTACACCTAACTTAAAACCTTGAATTATAAACTCTTAAGGTTTATGGTTTAGCTGTTATGAGTCATGGATGCAATTGAACAACTTCGAGGACTAAATTAATGCTGAAATACAATAGGGACGAAAGTGATAAATTGAGTCTACTACAGGGGCAAAAGTTTACCCTTTTACCTAATAATAATAATATAAGTTTATATATTAATTACATTTAAATACAAATATTTTACTTTATTTGACCTATTCCTCTTTTGATTAAGCTAAAGTGATTAGTAGCATCAATTCTAAATACTCTCAATCATTTGACAATAAACGTTCAATCACCATTGAAGTTGTTAATGTTTAAATCCGTAACCTCTAAAAATAATAACGATTTCTTTAACTACCGAGGTAAGATGGTTCGTGCTTATTCTCCAATAATATTTACTATTAGTAGTGTTACATTATTGTTATAAAATAATATTATAAAACCAAACGAAATAATGTTATCTTAAGATCTTACATTCCTTGAAAACTAAGTGTATGCTAATAATATTATATATATGACACCAATAAAAAATTTGTAAAAGAATATATATGGATCAGGATGATCAAGGAATAATGTTGCCCCCAAAATAATATTTATATATTTGAATCAATTGTTTGCTTCTTACACGGCTAAGGAAAGGCGTTACCGAAAATGTTAATGTTTTTTTAATATTTCCGCTAAAACGTTACCTAAAATATTATTTTTTTACTGGAAATGTTAATTTCGCTACCTAATTTCCGGTAGAAAAACCGGTAGAAAAAATAACATTTTGGATAGCTCCCAATATTAACATTTCTGGTAGAAAAAATAATGTTTTAGGTAGCGTTTTACCGAAAATATTAAAAAAATATTAATATTTCTGGTAGTATCTTTCTTTTGCCGTATATTAGTTCTGCAGTACCTAAGGCATCTCGGATTTAGAGGTGGCTTAATAGGTAAACTAATCTAATATTATTAATAAAAATGTAAGAATGTAATAATAATTAGGGTAGAGTACACAAATGGTCCCCACTATAGGATAATATTTTATTGAATCCTTTGATTATTAAAAGTTACAAAATGATCTCTCAACTATGAACTTTCTTTTTTGAGTCCCTCAACTATTAAAAGTTACAAAATAGTCACTCAACTATTCAATATATTCTAAACTCGTCATTTTTCATTAGAAATTTAACAGCTGACTGAGTTGAACGTTAACATGTTGACTGAGTTATGATAGTCATTTGAGATTATGAGATCATATTTTATCATATCTCAGTCAGCAAGTTAATGTACAACTCATATTGCAGTCAAAATTTTAACAAAAAATGACGAGTTTGGGGCATAATTAATAGTTGGGTGACCATTCTGTAACTTTTAATAGTCGAGGGACTAAACAAAGCAACTTTCTATAGTCGGGAGACCATTTTATGACTTTTAATAGCCAAGTGACTCAATAAAACATTATGCTATAGTCAGGGGACCGTTTGTATACTTTACCCTAATAATCATACATAATCCTACTTTTTGCCTAGGTTGGATGTGCACTTCTGGTGTTTCATTTCCGTCCATTTTTCATTCTTCAATGTATTCAATACCGCTGCTTTTTTGCAATATATATACTCTACATTAGGGTTCCAATTATCAGTTAAAGCAATCAGTACTTTCTTCTTCTCTTCGTCTTCTTCTGCCAACAGTCCGAGTTTGATCGATGGCAGCCAACGACGTGCCATGCTGCGAGTCAATGTTCTGGGTTTATCTGGTCGTGTGCGTGGTCCTTGTCTCCTTCGCCGGCCTCATGTCTGGCCTTACCTTGGGGCTCATGTCCCTCAGTCTTGTTGATCTTGAAGTTGTCATCAAGGCTGGCCAACCTCAAGATAGGAGGAATGCAGGTTCACTTTACCCACTCTTCTAATCACTTCTATTCATGGCTTTTTTACATAAATTGCTCATCTCTTTTCATGGCAGAGAAAATCCTACCAATAGTTAAGAATCAGCACCTACTCTTATGCACCCTCCTTATAGGCAATGCCCTTGCAATGGAGGTATATATCATATCTTTTTGTCTATACATTTGAATGAGACGAGAGATATCATAAGTTACTCGAGATCGACTCGACTAAAGCTCGATAAATACTCGACTCGAGTTCTTAACAAACCGAATTTATGACACTAATTTCTAAAATTTCTATGTACCTTAATACAAGGCTCTTCCGATCTTCCTGGATTCCCTTCTATCCGAGTGGTGCGCAATATTAATATCAGTTACTCTTATATTGGCATTTGGTGAGGTAAATCTTCCAATTTTTTGCATACAACTGTATCTTGAATTCGAGGGTCCGATCAGATCATATCGGGCCAAATAGAAGTCGATAAAAAATAAATGGTAAATTACGTATTTAGTCACCTAACTATTACTTTAGTTCTGTATTGATCACCCTACTATTCTTTTTCAAAATCATCACTAATGTTACATTTCGGTTTCATTTTGTCCACTTGTCGTAAAAAAATTAACGGTGATATTGACGTGTCACCAGAATGTAATGCCATGTAATCATTTTGATCACCTGTCGTTAGCGATGATTTTGAAAAAAAAAATAGTTTGGTGACCAAAATGAAACCAAAGTGATGGTTGAGTGAGTAAATATGGAATTTACCCAAATAAAATAATACCATCCAATAAGAGGTTTACACGATATGTTTAGGTTAAAAGTAAGGTATTGTTTTGATTAGATCATTCCTCAAGCTGTATGTTCTCGGTATGGACTGAGTGTTGGAGCAAAACTCTCCGTTTTAGTCCGGTTCATCGTGATAATCCTCTTCCCGGTAGCTTATCCGATCAGTAAGGTAATTTGGACTTTTAATCCCTTTTAGAAGATGAAAGTGATGAGGACTTTAGTGGAAAAAAAATAATGAATATTTGGTCCTTTCTTTGGTATTGTTGCAGCTCCTGGATTTGCTGCTGGGGAAAAGACATTCTGCTCTTCTTCGACGAGCTGAGCTCAAAACACTGGTTGACATGCTTGGAAATGAGGTCGGTAATGATTTCCAACTTTCCGTATATTAACCTTAAACTAATATCGCTATAAATCAACGATGGACCAAGGGTAAGGTATACAAATGGTTCTCCGACTAAAGGGTTGTTATTTTGTCAAATCTTTGACAATTACAGTTACAAAATGGTTACCCGATTATTCATATGTTTCGAATTCGTCTTTTTTATTGAAAAATTAGCGACCATTTGAGCTGGACGTTGACATGTCGACTTAGATATTATCAAATATGATCCAAAAATCGTTTGAGTTGTAATTTGTCGAGTCAATGCTTGAAACATTAGGTTATTGAGTTATTGCTTGAAAGAAGCAACAGTGTCGGTAGACATCATTGAAATATGATTTTATCATATCTTAATTAGCAGGTTAATGTCCACCTCAGATACTCGTCAATATTTAATAGAAATGATGAGTCTAGATCATATGAGTAGTTGAGTGATCATTTTGTAACTTTTAATGTTGTGGGATTCAACAGAACAACATCCTATAACCGAGGGTTCATTTTGTAATTTTTAATGGTAAAAGACTCAACACAATAACACCTTATAGTTAGAGGACTATTTGTGTACTTTACCCCGGATTAAGTTTGCATTCCTACTAGAAAATCATGCGTCTAAACTACCCAAACCAGTGCAAATGATATTCATGTCCAATTTTAGGCAGGGAAAGGTGGAGAACTAACCCATGATGAAACAACCATCATCTCTGGAGCACTGGACATGACACAGAAAACTGCTAAAGATGCCATGACACACCTGTGTGACATTTTTTCACTCGACATAGACTCTAAACTCGACGAGTATGTTCTTCTTCTATGTCTCACCTGGCTCCATGTCTCAATCTAAGTTTCACTCTCATCAAACATATGTTGTACAGGAAAACAATGGGGCTGATCATGAGAAAAGGCCACAGCCGTGTACCCATCTATTCAGGGGGACCGGCAAACATCATCGGGCTAATACTGGTGAAAAATCTGATCAAGTGCCGACCCGAAGACGAAACCCCGATAAGGAATCTTACTATTAGAAGCATCCCCAGGTTAGTTTTGAGTTGAGATGCAAATTTGATACGATTTTGAAGAGTAATAAGTGATTAAGTAATTGAATTGGTGTGACAGGGTTCATGATCGTTTACCTCTCTATGATGTATTGAATCTATTCCAGGAGGGGCACAGCCACATGGCTGTTGTTGTTAAGAGCAAGAATGATATAAAAGAGACCGCTGAAACCAAACTTCACTCCAATTCTAAAAGGACCAAGTCAAAGGCGAAAGGTATACTTGTTGTATTAACTTTTAGGGTACAGAACACAAATGGTCCCGAGCTATTAGAAGATACGAATTGAAGGCCGTCTGAGCTGAACATTAAACTGCTGATTGGGATATAATAAAATCATATTTTAATGATGTCTAGTGGCATTGTCGTTGCTTTTAAGCACTGACTCAAGAGCATAATGTAAACAGAGAGTCGATCTACAGAATACAACTCAATTTTGGAATCAGATTTTATCATATCCTAGCCAACGGGTTAACGTCCAGCTCAGAAGAACGTTGATTTTTTAATAAAAAATGATGAGCCTAAAACATATGAATAATTGTGACAATTTTGTAACTTTTAATAGTCGAAAGATTCAACAAAACAGCGTTTTATAGTTGAATAACCGTTTTGTAACTTTTAATAGTCGGATGACTATTAGATACATATGAGCCTATGAACTTATGATGACCAACCAAATTTTGAAATTTCAGGTACTAATCAGCGTCGTGAATATGATCGACATGAGCAACTTGGCATGGCTTCAAGCTCAGTTTCCCCAAATTCTGCCATAATTGATATCCAAAGTCCCACATCGAACAAGGAGGTTGGGAGCAAAATACATCCACGAATGAGGAAATGGGAACAAACCACTCTCTCCAATGAAGATTTGGAATCATTTTCAGCCTCAGATGAGGAGGTTCTTGGTATCATTACACTGGAGGATGTCATGGAAGAACTTTTGCAGGTTTTTTTTTCTAAGATAAACTACACATTTAATATCTAAACTATCAGTTCCGGTTCATTTTAGTAACTAAACTTTAAAAAAATTAAAATCATACCTAACATTTAGTATTTATTTCATTTTAGTACCTGTCATTAAAAGCTTAACACGCTTAGTACCTAAACTATCAATTTTGGTTTATTTTAATACCTAAACTTTCAATTTTTTCAAACATTAACGTTAAATTTTGAATGGGGTATTAAAATAAAACAAAAACTAAAGTTTAAGAATTAAAACAGATCAAAACTGATAGTTTAGATACTAAATGCGTAATTTACCCCTTTTTCTACTATTTCATTTCTGTTTCCCAATACAAATTCTTGTATTTAGGGTGCACCGAGGGGACTGCTAGGGCCGGGCGCTACCCAAAAATTGTTATATATTTTAGATTTTTTAATATTTTTATCGATAATATGTTTTCGTCTCTAGAATATTAGAAGTTCGTTCCCACTTAAAATTTTAAAAATTCGCTCCTAACATAAAATCTTTCGTCCGTCTATGCAGGAGGAAATATTAGATGAAACTGATGAGTATGTTGATGTTTACAACAGGTAAGTAGGCTTGTTTCATACTATTTCATCAACGTTGAATTCAATTCTCACGTTAAGGTATGTGTCTAGAATTACAATCAACATGCAACCTTCGCGAAGATCGCCATTAAGAGCAGCAACAGCGTCGTCCCAATTTCACTGGAGAAGTCCGATCTCTTCGACTCGGGGAAGTCCGGTTTCTTCGAAGCCTCATTCTCCGATATTCCGATCACCGAACTCGCCACGTGTTCAGTCGCCGCTGTCAATGCCAGCTCTGTGCTCTTCCCCCGGAAAATCGTACGAGAGGCTGAGGCATGGTTCTTAGGTCTCAATTCGATTTCAATCATAACAAAAGAAACATTTTGGGAACTAATAGCACATGGCTCCCTCTCTTGTGCTTTTCAGTAATGAGTGCACCTTCGGCTTAATGAATCCAATAAGTAGAATATTAAAATTATTCCAAGGCAAACAAATATGTTAGATTTTATTTTAGTTGGTATGGTTGTTGCTCTATTGAAGCTTGGTCTGAAATAACAACCATTAATGATCGAGGGGTCGATTTGTTATAAGACAAATTAAAGGTACATAGAGTAAAGATATGTTTTTTATGATTCTAGGATAAATATGAGACAATATGTGTTCAAAAATTCTCAGTAATCTAATAATAAATAATTGCACTGTCAAAGTTCATTCCATTTTTCGGGTGTATAAATTTTGGAGAATGTGCTAATCTCATAGGGACTATACGTCCATCGTAAAGATTACACACATCAAGTGAATTCATCTTTAAAGAAGCAAATCACCACGACATGATTTTGTTTCTATTTAATTTTCCCGTCAATGCTAACGTCTCATTTTGTAACAATCTATTTTCTAATACTTTAAAAGTGAATTCCATAAATGGTTGTAAAACACAGTCGAGTTCCAACTATTATTACTGCAAATAGAGGTTCAAACGAATACACGTCGAACAAATGATAGAAAATTCGTTATTCGATAGAGGATAGCAATGGAAAAAATCATATAACGATGATTTTAATGTTAATCATTAACTAACATGGTTTTTGGATTTCTCTACAATTTATATTTATTTTTAGGGTTAACTATACGATTGATCATTTTCGTTTATGTTTTGTTCATTTTTTCTGATTTCGAAATGCATAATATTTGGCCACTTATTTTATTTTTTAGATATATATTTTTTATTAATCTACGTATGTACAAGACAATATCTGTTCAACAATAACTCATTCTTTCAACATTGAACGCTCACACCCCTAGCACCCTAAATCCTTAAAGAACAATAATTCATTTACTACAGATATCACTTGATTCATGCATAAAAATTACTGATAATTTAAGCATCTACTCGACTAACCTTAACAAGATTGAAAAAACATAAAACCATAAAGTAAAACAATATATTTAAGTAAATTAATTTCTCTAACTATACAAGAATTTATTTCAGTTTAATGATTTAATATTGCTTTTAACTCTAACTTAACCTAAAACTTTTCAATTTCAATTTCAACCTAAAATAAAAACTACACGTTTAGTATCTAAACTATCAATTTTAATCTGTTTCAGTACATAAACTTTCAATTTTTGTTTCATTTTAGTACTCTCATTTAAAATTTAACCTTAAATATTGAAAAAAAATTCAAAGTTTAGGTACTAAACGCGTTAAGTTTTTAACGACATGTACTAAAATTAAACAAAAACTAAACGTTATGTATAATTTTGAAAAAAAAAAACAAAATTTAAGAACTAAAACGGACCAAAAGTAATATTTTAAGTACTAAACGCGTAATTTACCCGATAACAAATTGCTTAAGTTAGGCATGGGATGATTTGTCGAAAGACTTGGGCTCGCATACCAACTCTAATGCCATTGGTTTGTTTTCATCTAGCCATTAAATCGATCAAAATGAAACCAAAATATAACTTCAATGTCCATTCTACAAGTTGAATCCTTCATCAGTAACCCAGATTCTCGTCATTCACATGAACTCTTCCTATCCAACTTTAGTTTGGCCCTTGGAGAAGGTAACCAACTAACCAATCCCTAAGTTGGTAGAGATCGATGCATACGGAAAACATATCAAAATTAAGTTCTCCAACGAACAGGGGGGCCTAAATTACAGCAAGATTCACAAACTCTTTTACACAAAGCATAATCGAATAAACAAACAGCCATCCTCTGGGATGGAGACATAATTCTTGAGATTTGTATGAAAGCAAACTTACCACAACTAGAGTCGTAAATGCATAATCTAAAACTACGGAAGAAGTCGATGACAAAGCTAGTGCCTACTCTTTGATGATGATGAGAAAGGGTTATGTCGTAAAGTTCTCTAGTTGTCCAAACAAACAAAGAAAAATCGCACTCCGCTTTGAAGGCCATGAAAATACAGTGAGATCTAAAGCTCCTAGGTTTTAAAATGTTCATCATGTGAAACGGCTTCCATTATGCACGCAAGATCAGAAGTTCACAAACATGGAAGAGCTGTATTTGAATACCAAATGAAATCCATTGTAAACATTCATCGGCTAGAATTCGAACCATCCATAGGCCAAAGGATCAGATAAGAACAAGTTGTCATACTGAATTAGAGATTCACCAGATTTCGGTTCATCGACCCGATTCGAGAGATTGAACAATTAATGTGTCAAGTCAACAGGTAAAGAAAAAACTAAATCTTGAAACAAGAACAGCAAAATATTCAAACAAGCCCTTAGAATGCAACTGGGTAAACATCGTCTAGAAGCAACAACAAACACAAAACCTAAAACCAAACTCTACAATCTTAGCTATATACCAAAGAAAGTTGAAACCAATAACAATGCAAGAATTCGAAGGCAAAACTAACCTTTAATCGCTGTACATATAGCTCCTTAAAAAACTCCCTACCCTCCAAAGAAGGAGAAAAAGCCACGCTTTTTTGGCTCCTCCTCGACCATAACAGCCTTCATACTATCCTGCTCAACAAGCCTCCAAGCAGCTTGCTCGAACGCCAACCCGGCGAGGGTCGGCGGCTTATTCAGAACAAGCGGATACCCTCTGTTGGTGCTCCTAATCACCTCGGAATCCTCTGGAATTACCCCTAACAATGGCAGCCCCAGCATCTCTTGCACATCCAAAACTGACATCATCTGTTCACTATCATTTTGATATCCCTTATCCCATCGCATTCTAACAGCCCTGTCACTCTATCCGCGTCTCTTAAGCTAGTTATGTCAGGCGTCGTCACCAGAACCGCCTCATTCGCCGGAGTTATAGCCGTTATGAACCCTGCGTCGATCCCGCCGGACAGTCTATTAGTATGAAATCCGGAGACTTATCCTCACGTGCTTTGAGAGCGTCGACTAGCCAAACCAACGCTTTCCCGCCGAATCCGATGGGGAGTTTCGATCTGGGCTTGGAAATGCAAAGCAATTCGAAGTTGGACCAACGCTTGTCTCGAACCAATGCTTGGTCCAGCCGGCAATCACCGTTGAGCACCTCGACGACCGTGTAATTCACGCGATTCTCGAGACCAAGGAGGAGGTCTAGGTTACGTAGGCCAACATCAGCGTCAATGGCCACCACGAAGAATCCTAGACGGGCTAAGGAAAGTCCAACATTGGCAGTGGTAGTTGTTTTTCCAACGCCGCCTTTCCCGGACGTTATAACCACCACGCGCGGGGTCTCCCCCGCCAGCTCAGGCTTTCTGTTCCATTGAAGGACTGACGAAATGGGAGCGTGCCTTGATTTTTGGTAGGGTTTTGGGGGGTTTAGGGTCTGCGTGTTCAAAAGGGGTTGAAACGAAGGGTTGAGCAGAGTGGGATTAGGGTTCGAGGGGAAGAGTTGTAAAGAGAGCATTGCTTTTTAGGATTTTTGGAAGACGAAGACGGAGACGAACAACGAAATCATCTTATACGGTTGAGATCTACGATTACATCCGTCAAAAACGGGGGAAAACCTAATCGGACGGTTTTGATTTACCTGAGACAATTGGGCCTACTAAGAAAGTATAGAAATGATCCTCCAATTATATGACTTTATTTATTAAGTCTTCTAACTATTAAAATTTATAAAATGATTCTATAAATATAGGCATTGCTTTATTGATTCTTTCAACTATTAATAGTTACTTATCGGTCTTTCGGCTATAGGACATTACTTTGATAAGTTTCAAGACTATTAAAAGTTACAAAATGATCATTTAACTATGCATATGTTCCAAACTCATCCTTTTCTATTAAAAATTTATCGATTGTTTGAGTTGTACGTTAATATACTGATTGATATATGATAAAAATCAGATTTTAATGATGTATACTAACATTGTAGTTGCTTTCAAACATTAACTTGACGACATAATGTTTCAAGTACTAGTTCAACGGCATAATGTAAATAACGAGTTGATCCACAAAATACTGCTTAAATAATTTTGGGATCAAATTTCATTATATCTCAGTCAACATGTTAACCATTAGATCACACAATCGTTGATTTTTTAACGGAAATGGACGAGTTTAGAACATATGAATAGTCAGATGACAATTTTATAAATTTTAACTGTCAGATGACTCAACAAAACATTGCATATAATCGGGGATCATTTTGTAACTTTTAATAGTCAAAAGACTCGACAAAACATAATCCTATAGTCAATGGATCATTTGTGTATTTTACCCTAAATAATAAACTCTCAAATTCAAGTGGCAATAAGATTTAGGATAAATTACGAATTTTGTATCTAAACTATCAATTTTAGTCCATTTTAATACCTAGACTTTAATTTTCAAAATCATATCTAACGTTTAGTTTTTGTTTTAATTTTAGTACCTGTTAAAAACTTAATAGGTATGGATAAATTGCATCATCCATCACTCAACTATCTTCTCACTCCTATATTGGTTAATAAGGCTTAATTTTTTTTTATTTAATTACTTAGCTTTCAAATTGCTCCTAATTTAATCACTCTAACTTTCAAATTTATTTTTTTATTTTTAATTATATATCAATAAAATAATGATAAAAATGTCATATCACAAAAATTATTAATGAAATAAAAATTATTAATAAAACAAATTAGAGTGATTAAAATATAAACAATTTGAAAATTGAATAGTAAAATTGAAAATTCTTAAACTTTAATACCAAAATAAGAATAAAAGATAGTTAAATGATTATGTAATTTACCTATAAAAAATGCAATACTGAGGTTTTGAACAAAGAGATATTAAAACAAAACAAAAATTAAATGTTACCTATGGTTTTAAAAGAATTCAAAAATCAAATACTAAACGAATCAAAAACGGATAGTTTAAGTATTAAACTCAAGGATGACAATAGGTCAAGTTAGGATCGGGTTTTTGATCAACTCAACCCGACTCGAAACCTTTATATCCTACATCCACCCGACCCGACCTGGAAAATATATATCCTTCATCTGAATCCAACTTGATCCAATTTTTTAGAATATAAATCCAACCCAACCTGACCGGATATAAATTAAGAAATTAATTAAAAAGTAATAAAAATTTTTAAAAAATTACATTATT